GCCTCCACGGATTTTGGCACGAAAAATCGTACTCCGGAACCTCCCTACTGTAACCATTTCGCGGCCCAGTGTTCTATGGTCTGCGAGACGCCCGGTGCGTACTTGAGTGACCTGGTGACTGGACTGGATTTCATTGAGCAGCACTGTATTTGCCATCTACTAGTACATGTACATGTACATGACTCAAAACGGGTTTATTCAAACAATACGACATGGAAAGAAGGAAGAAAACCAAAGATACAAGGGATGAAACTCGACGATGAAATCAAAATGAAAAATTTAAAAAAAAGTCCAATCCAAAGAAACTCAAGGCAAATGTACAAGGTTGTGTAAAAGATTCAAATCAATCCCTAGACGAATGCTTTGAAAAGATGTGAAGTGTGCATGGATGCGAAGTAATAGTGTAACGTGCGTCGGCGAGGCTAGGAGGCTACTACCCACAGTCAGTCAACTAACGTATCAGAACTTACTCCGGCACGGCCTGGAGGTTATCTTATATCAAAGTGAAAGCGAACTTGCTCTCTCTCTGATCTCTGCTCTCAGCTCAGCTCTAATCTGAGCTAATCTCCTGGTGGCAGAAAAGACAGCAGCTTTTATAGGCAAGCAAAGTATGTATAGCAAAGCAGGCGGCGGTAGGAAAGTAAGGTTAGTAAGCCATTGCAGTGATTACGAAATCATCCTTCTAGTACAAGTTCTAGAATAGTGGAGAAGTAAACCTAGATCATCATTGCTATACACGTAGATGAAGTGAGCATTGCGTAACATTAACATAATGACTAAGCGAGGTATTCTAGAAGATGAGATATCTATATTATGCAATTTAGTCAGCAACATTACTCATCGGGCATATGACGTGGGAAGTCTGGAATAGTCCGGAACAACATGACATACATGTACATGAGTCATGACTGTACATGACTAGTAACTACAAGGAAGTGATACTAGAAGTGATGACAGCAGCATGCATGGAATCTATGATCTTCTAGAAGTGCGGTACTCCTGATGTAATCAAATCATATGTGAGGTACATGATGTAGGACTTGTCCGAAAGTAGTAACAAGAGTAATTATAAGAGTCATGCAAAGTACTAGTCATGCGTTAACTGTAAAGCAGGGATACTACACCCTCCCTTCCTACACTAAATCACGCCCTCGTGATTTGACAGAGAGTTCGATGATGTATGATGAACAGTACTCACTAGAAGGCACCGTCAGTAGGTGGACTGGACAACTGACTTGCATTCACGTACATGTATTCTTGAATCTTTGAACAGGTCAGAGTGCTTGATATTCGGACGAAAGGGTGACAACTGACACTAGTAGTAGTAGTAGTAGCTCGAGCTCAGCAGCAGATCATAGGAGGCGGTGTGAACGTCATAGTAGTAGATAGCGTATTGCTTGTGGAGCGTCAACCGGGATATGGCAAATAATATCGGAAATGATAACATTTTTAGAGTAGACAGAAGAACTGAACTGATAATAAATCAAAAAATAGAAGCACACCAGGTTCTCACCATCTCACGGGGTCAAAAAGGGAATATTGTCCTCCAAACAGGACCGAAAAAAACTACAGTTGACTTGCTGCACAACCCTGGCACAACCTGCCAGCCAAATCGCAGTTCCAAGCCGAACTGAGTACACAAGGGCATTCTCACACACATTGTCCCAGGTTAGCTAGGTAGACCGTGGCTCACCATGATCGGACGCCTACCGGACTAAACTGGATTCACTCACTCGCATAAAGGAAGACTGAAGAGAATAGAAAGACTGAAGGAAGACAGGAAAGAGAATGCCATACCTGGAATCAGCTTACATTGGACATGGAGCTTGATCGGTAGAGACGCTGTCCGTCATCATTTCAGGCTAGGGGGAGACATGGCGGGCGAAGGAGTAGCGGCGACTGACGCATCAGATTGGCCCATGCTGGTACCGGTTACACCAATAAAACAATTTACCGCTGCCATCAATTCTGTAGCGCGGCTGCCATCATTGCAGTACAGATACTAGATGGGTTCGAATCTAGCAATTATCAAATTGAACCACCGCTGCCATCAATGTAACGTATCCCACCGCTGGCACCAATGTAACGTGCGTCGGCGAGGCTAGGAGGCTACTACCCACAGTCAGTCAACTACAGTAACGGAACTTACTCCGGCACGGCCTGGAGGTTATCTTATATCAAAGTGAAAGCGAACTTGCTCTCTCTCTGATCTCTGCTCTCAGCTCAGCTCTAATCTGAGCTAATCTCCTGGTGGCAGAAAAGACAGCAGCTTTTATAGGCAAGCAAAGTATGTATAGCAAAGCAGGCGGCGGTAGGAAAGTAAGGTTAGTAAGCCATTGCAGTGATTACGAAATCATCCTTCTAGTACAAGTTCTAGAATAGTGGAGAAGTAAACCTAGATCATCATTGCTATACACGTAGATGAAGTGAGCATTGCGTAACATTAACATAATGACTAAGCGAGGTATTCTAGAAGATGAGATATCTATATTATGCAATTTAGTCAGCAACATTACTCATCGGGCATATGACGTGGGAAGTCTGGAATAGTCCGGAACAACATGACATACATGTACATGAGTCATGACTGTACATGACTAGTAACTACAAGGAAGTGATACTAGAAGTGATGACAGCAGCATGCATGGAATCTATGATCTTCTAGAAGTGCGGTACTCCTGATGTAATCAAATCATATGTGAGGTACATGATGTAGGACTTGTCCGAAAGTAGTAACAAGAGTAATTATAAGAGTCATGCAAAGTACTAGTCATGCGTTAACTGTAAAGCAGGGATACTACAATAGAAGTAAGAAAAAGGAAAACAATAGAAAACGCAACAGTAATCCAGAAAAACAAAAACAACTTCACAAGTCTTTTTCTCTCGTATCGACTTTTTTTTTTTTTTTTTTTTTTTTTTCTCCACAATATCCTTTAACATGTTATTCACAGTGGGTCCAATGTTATTAGGCATTTTGCCTGTTTTGATTTCCACTATAAATAAAGTATACAACAACAACAACAAGTCACGACCAACAGCAACCAAAAAATCGGAGAATGGAAAACAAAACCTACCACAAATCGCACACAAGCACACCAAAATCTAAACAATCATACGAGAAGCTACTCAAAAGCTCCAAAAGGACTCAAAGAGACACAGCAAGAAAATAATAGAGTCAAAATGACAAGACATAATTCATGAATGCGGCCGGTGAGCTAAAATATTAAAGGGGAAGTATACCCTAAAATCAAATTTTCACCAGTTGTAGTCTTCTGGGTGCTGAGTCGAATGGTCTTGGTCCGAGGAAGCTGCGACGCTCCCTTCCTACTTGAATCCCAATCGAACTCGCGCACTTCCACCGAAACTGGGTGACTGCGCCCTACTAGATGGGGATTTGTATGCAAAATGTCACTAAAAGCGCCATTTCGTTCTTATAAAAGCACGGATGACCGCGATTGGCCCATATGTTGTAGTCTTTTGGACGCTGAGTCGACTGGTTTTGGTCCGAAAAGGCTGCGATGCAGCGTTCCTCCTTTATTCCCAATCGAACATGGTTGAACAAGCGGTCACGTGCTCCTGGGTGCCCAAATCACCTGGTCACCGCGCCAGCAGGTGACAACTTTCACACCAAGGTTCAACTCGAGTTCAACTCGAGTGACAGGACTGCACCCAAAAAAGGTCAAACAGGCTAGTAAGTTGTACCCTGCAGGCACGGTGACCAGCTGACTGGTGTACGCAGGAGCACGTGACCGCTTGTTCAACCATGTTCGATTGGGAATAAAGGAGGAACGCTGCATCGCAGCCTTTTCGGACCAAAACCAGTCGACTCAGCGTCCAAAAGACTACAACATATGGGCCAATCGCGGTCATCCGTGCTTTTATAAGAACGAAATGGCGCTTTTAGTGACATTTTGCATACAAATCCCCATCTAGTAGGGCGCAGTCACCCAGTTTCGGTGGAAGTGCGCGAGTTCGATTGGGATTCAAGTAGGAAGGGAGCGTCGCAGCTTCCTCGGACCAAGACCATTCGACTCAGCACCCAGAAGACTACAACTGGTGAAAATTTGATTTTAGGGTATACTTCCCCTTTAAAAGCACGACACTCCGTGACGAAATTGGTGACGTCGGCTGGCACCCGATCCACCGCGTCGGTAAGACGCCCGCGAACCCCGGAAGCAAGTAAGTAAGTACAATCATGTAGTTCTACTTATCTGCCACTGCACGAGAGATAGACTGATCCTGTATCGCAAATGACGGATTATGTCGGCATAGGGAACATCACGGTTTTTGTCGTGCAGCAGAGTCGAGAGGGTTTTCAGAAAAATGGTACTCTCTGGGGCACACTGCCCGTTGGTGGCGAAAATTACTTACGGAGTGAAGGAACCCCTGCGCTGCATGCACCAGTCATTTTGCCGCTTCTTCTGACATGACGCTCGTGTTCGCCTTGGCTGATCCGGCTGAGCTGACGTGCTGCTACGGCGCCCTCACTCAGCCAGTACAGATCTTTGCACGCGCGCACTCGCAGTGCGCATGTTGATCCGATGTGACTAGTCTAGATAAGAGGCCAGCATCACCATGATCACCAGCGCCCTGGGACCGCTATCTAGACGTGCGACCGGATTTCCATGTCCACGACATGACAGACTCAGTACGAGGCTACGGCGAGTACGAGGCCGGCTACGTGACGATCGTGCACAGCATGCAAGTGACGTGGCACTACAAAAAAACCTGCATCTTTTATGAACGACGTTACGTCGTCGCATCTAGCCGGCCTAGCTAGCGCGGCCTAGGCTCGAGTTACATCTCGTCTTTCACAAACACCGCTGATCTCACCCCCTGACACCGATTCAGAGGAGCTCAGCTCTAGCTCTGACTTGTACTTTGGGCATGAAGTCTTGTAGATCTACACCCTACATTCAGTGTTTACATTCTGTAGATTTCTATGTGTCACTGATTTCTATGTGTCACTGACTGTAGATCGACGTGTAGCTGCATGCAGCCGGCCGCCCACGTCGAACGCTAGCATTTTTTGTGTTATTTGGTCAGCTGCTTGGCCGTGTTTCTTGGCGTCTTCAAGAGCGTGTACTCGTGTAGTTTGGTGTGTTCTTTGACTTTTCACGAGTGTAAACATCCTTCTCGTGTCAACCCCCACCGCTTCTGCTGTGCTTGTAAACTGCCTTTGGCCGCAAAACTCGCTCGTCCAGAACTGATATAGCAGCAGGTGCAAAGCTGATGGTGATAGAGGGTCCCGTAAACGAACCAGTGTGAATGCGAAACGAGGCGTTGCAGTGTACTTGGACTGAGTTATTTCCACTAAAATAATCAGGCTCGCTGGCCGCGTGTTTGAGAGGTTTGCGTCAAGAGAGCAGCACTGCATGCACTGCCGGTCCGTGTACAAGTAGCGCGGGCGCGGAGCGTGTTGTAAAGTGAAAACAGCTATAGTAATCGATGTCGGAAACGCCCCGGTCTCAAGTACTTCCGCCGCTACAGTCGTTTCTGAGTTTGACTCCCAGCGCAGCCTCTACTCTCTAGTCTGGAATTTTCGGGAGCCTGTCCTCCGGGGCAAGGTATGTAGCTTTCCTTTGACTGCTTGATGGCTTGTGATTTTGCGTGGATCAAAAACTGAGAGCTTGCAGTCGTTACTCGTGGGCGGGTGCGTCGACCTGCGTGCACTAGTGCAGTAGTGGGAGAGATGCATGTGGCCAGATCCTTCATGGCTTGCTAGCCAACATAGTCATCGTGTTCATATCTAGGTCTAGTAAAGCCATATTGCCGTCCGCGTGGGGGAATGCATGATGCATCCTGACTGTCAAGATGCAAAATCCTGACTGGAAAGAATGCGTATTTGTGCCAATGCAGCTACTCAGCACGGACACATGTATAGGATCTTGATAATTATGATGTACATAATGTACAACCACTACTACTAGTACTACTGGCAGTACTGCTGCTAGTGGTTTTGTGGAGAAGATGGAAAAGCAAAGACAAACAGCACACACTTGCACTCAGAATCAGTGTGCTGTCTGTACTGTGTGATATGATGGGCACTGATGGCACCAACTAAACAGTGTGGCCCAGCCAACCTGTTACATGATTGTACTGATGTAGCTGGGTGGATTGTCTGTACTGCACTGTCTGTAGTATAGAACAGTTGGAGACATGCAGTGCACACAGTGGTGTCTTGTTACAAATACAGAACACGCTACATGACAGATTTCCTGTATAATCACCCTACCCAGTACCCACTGGCACTACACTACAGTACTAGTAGTACAGTCACCACCACCAGTGTATGACATGATTGTAATTTTAGGTGTGTTCGAATTTCGGTGTCAGTGACCTGCCAGGTTTCAGGTGAAAGCTGGTCAGTATTCCCTCCCCCCCTGCAGTGCACACTCTACTCTCTAGTGCCTTTTACTTTTAGTTGTAATCTTAGCTTCTAGTACTCCTTGTACAGTGTCTACTCCTCATAAGTAGTGACTTTACTCCCTCGCACCCAGACGCTGATTTTTTGGAAACAAGTTTCTATACTTCCGATGGGAGAATCCGACATGGCAGTGCATTTCGGCGTGGCCAGGTCAAATTGTAGAATATCGCATCGAGTGAATTGCTTTATCTGAGAGAGCAGATGTTCGTGCCCTTGAGACCCGAAGTCCCGTTTCCATACGACAAAGTTTAGGAGCTCTGCGCTCGACCCGAAGTCCCGTTTCCATACGACAAAATTTAGGAGCTCTGCGCTCAGCGCTTTTCAGGGTATGAATTTCGGGTTGTTCTGGTCGGGTCACAGCGTCGCGGACTATACCATCGTCTTCAGCGTCGAAAAACTACTGGCCATGTGAAATTACAAGGCGGTGAGACGCTTTCGTCTTCCTCTACGAGCGAATTTGTTCTGCGCCAGCATACCAAAGTATGCAATTTCGTACGCGCAGTTCGAGTGACGAGGCGTGTGCACTGTACACTGTACTGCATGCACTGACTGTGCGGTCGTTCTCGATTCTCCCATCACTCCCATTCATTTCTGTTTCCAGCAAAGGTCCAACTTGGCGCACTTCAAATCACTATAACTCAAGAATGGCTGGGCCGATTTGAATAATACTTACAGATTTCCTATGAACTACGCCTGGGAGAATCGAATGAGACCAAAATCGAAGCAATCGGAGCAAGTTTTGGAAATTGGGTGTAGTCACTACCATAAGTCGCACACATTTGCAATAGGGGGGGGGGGGGGGGGGGGAGGGAGGAGAGACAATACAGAGAAAGACACTGCTGGGTGAGACACTGCTGGGAGTGACAATGCTGGGAGAGACAATGCTGGGAGAGACAATGCTGGGAGTGACACTGCTGGGAGTGACACTGCTGGGAGAGACAATGGTGTGACAAACACTCACACTGCAAGTACGTCTTATCAGAATACTGTATGTACAAGGTGAGGTGGTCTGTATGTATGCACCATACAGTGGTCCCATTAGAATCCGGCGCCGTTTGTGCTACAGTAATTCTGCTGGATTAGGGGGGGGGGGGGGGGGGGGTGCTGGATTAGGGCGCGTTCAGACTACCGTGAACCCCGTCAAACCGTGTTCGCCGATAAACCGTGAAGGACATTCACACTACCGATAACAAACTAACGTTACCGTGAAGTTTTCAGCTCTCACCGCGGCACTGACAAGGGATTTTCCCTTTTTTTTCGCAGCGCGCATGCAGCCTGAGCACTTTTTTACTGCCGGTAAAAGTTTACTGCCGCAGCAGCCGCGGCAGTAAAACTTTCCCACCGGTAACGTGCCAGTAACGTCACATGATCTAATCACCTTGGCGACTTTCCCAATCGGTCACTTTTTATCGGTAGTCTGAACGCTCCCTATGGGAGGGTGCTGGATTAGGGGGGGGGGGGGGGGGGGGTGCTGGATTAGGGGGGTGCTGGATTAGGGAGGGTGCTGGATTAGGGGGGTGCTGGATTAGGGGGGTGCTGGATTAGGGGGTGCTGGATTAGTGGGGGGGGGGGGGTGCTGGATTAGGGGGGGGGGGGGTGCTGGATTAGAAAATCTGACTTACTGCTGCAACGTGCATGAAGAGGACATTTCGGCTACTGAAATTTGTGCTGGTTTATAAAGCGTGCTGTTTTGTAAAGTGCTGAATTGGAGAGGGACGACTGTATATCCTTGGCTTCCTATTTGATTTGTAAAAATAATAAATTTTGCATGTCCGTGTTGCCACCGGCTATACAATTGTATTGAAGAACACAACCAGCTTTGGAAGTTTCGCATGTGCCAGGCCACCACCATGCCGGTGATACCAGGGTGGCGGATGCAGCTCCTAACGGCAAGCGTGAGGTGATAAGTTTCACAACCAACCAAGGGAGCAAATCTCATTAGCTGCATCCATGTTACCCTCACTCCGAGTAGTGAGTACCCAGTTGACCGTGGGTGTCGGCACAGTTCACTGCATGTAAAGTGGTTCACGCATGTGTTGGGTGTGAAAAGGATGTTGCTACTTCCCAAACACAACGGACAACGGGAACAGGTAGGTGGAACAACATTTATTACGGGTGACAAAGAGACCGAGACAAAGACGAACGGAACGACTACATTGTGGAAGAGAGAACGAGATCGAGTGAGGGCGGCAAGATAAAGGGCCTGGGTAGCTATGGCAAATATGGGCACGCAGAACAAAAGGAGGCAAAAGGTGAGTACGACGTAGTATGGGGTGCACGCAGGCCGGCTTGGAAAAGGTTGTAGAACGTACGGGAGTAGGTACCTAACACATGCGTCACCGCATTTGTTAGTACAGTACACGCTCCCTGCTCCCAGCGCGGGTCTCGAACTCGGGACCTTGTGATTCGCAGGCAAGCCCACTACCACTTGGCCAAAGCGCTGGTGACGTTGTAGTAATTCAAATGAACAGGAGAAGAGATGAAGACATCACAGTTCGCGTGACACTCGGCTAGACCGACTTTTCCACAATCGTAGGAATGCGCCCACCCTCTGTGGACCAAAGTTGCAGAGGAATGAGGGCATCCAACAAATCATTATTATCCTGTGTTTTCTTTCCATTGCAGATCTTTGCATTGTTCCACCATGGACACCTCTGCCGTCACGACTGAAAACCAAATTGGTATCAGCGGAGCAGTCAACACGATGACATCATCATCGCAAAGTCAGCCCCTGGCCGGCCAGCACTTGATCCAGAATGCGGACGCCCAGGGGGAATTCCCGTCGTCATCTGGCGCCCCGGCACCTGCCGCAGTTGCACTTTCGGCCAGTTCAAGTGCAGTAGCCCTGGGCTCCCAGCCTGTCGGACCAGAGCATCAACAGTCTCATCCCAGCAATGTTGGCACTCTACCCTCTGTAGCGACTGTGCCCACGTTGCCGGAAAACAGCAGCGCCGCAGCTGCGCAAATGCAGGCCGGCCCGTACATGGACTACCACACGTTTCGCTCCACGATGAACTACACTCAGCTTCTGCCAGCTGCACCTCAGTACGGCTGGATGCAGTACTGGCCGCACTCCACCACCGCCCCTGCCGCGCCCGTAGTGCAGTTTCCCGGTCAGCAGTTCCCGGGCCAGCCGCCCCCTCCGGGAAGCAGCCTAGTGTACATCAATGCAACACCACCAGCAGCATCACCAGCAGCACCACCAGCAACATCCGAAGAATCAGCAGCAGCAGCACCACCACCACCAGCAGCAGCACCAGCAGGAGGAGCAGCAGCAGCAGCAGCAGTAGGAGCAGCTGGCCAGACACAGCAGCCGGTGCAGCCAGCAGCAGCAGCACAACTGAGCGCCAGCACTAACGCAGGAGCCACAACCACTACAAGCAGTACTGCTGTCCGGCACCTAAACCCCCAGCCTCCGGGTGATGCGGCCGCTCTCCACGCCCAGGCCATGCTGGCAGAAGCAGCAGCAGCGGCCCTGCCCGTTGTCTCCATGGTGCCACCGACCGTACCTCCACTGGTGGCGGGTGTACCGCAGATAGGACCAAGCACTCAAGGTGCGAGGCACGTACCCCAATTCAATCCGGGTCAGGTTCGTAATCTGACCCCTACGTGTTACGTTTCTGCTAACTCTTCAACGGAGTCGTCGCTGCTGAATTTGCCTTTTGGAAACGATCAACAGGTGAGATATTGCGCAAGTGTACTTCAGAAATGGCCTTGGGTACGCCATACTGTCAGTGCAGCGGTGTACTTCAGGAATGGTTGTAGGTAGGCCATGCTATGTTTCCCGAAACACAGAGTACCCTAACTGCAAGAAACAAAGCGATCATTGCACGTTATGCATATACCCCCTTCGCCCTCCCCACCCCTCCCCCCCCCCCCCCCCCCCCCATGTGTGACCCCATCGCCACCGAAGATATGAATTGCACAGCCTTGGTTATATACTTTTGATGGCATTTAGCTGTGCTCTTCTGCATTGAGTGAATCCATAGACTGTCCATTTCCCTGTTGGTCCAATGCCTGTGCTCAGATGCAGGGCAGTAGGGGCGCGCCGTTGCACTGGGACACCAGCCGTGCTGCTGCGGTGCCGGGTTTCACACGGCCGCCGTCGCCGTCGCAGCAAGCCGCTGCACAGTTACTGGTGAGAATGCAAGACAAGCCAGCGGCCCAGCAGCTGCAACCGAGCATCCGCGTAAACCCCGACCAGGCGGCGGCCATGGCGGCTGCAAAGAAAGTCATTCGAGCTCAGAGCGTGATTGCCGCAAACACAGCCAGCCAGGCGAGTAACGATGCACGGCCGCCGCAGCTGTCCCTGCTCCCGACACCCTCCGACGATCAACCCCCCTCCTATCATCAGCTCGTGCCGACGTCGTCGGCCGGTTGTCATGTCAACCCGTTGCAGCATGCCGCCATGATGACTCCAAGAACGCCATCCGCACACCAGGGCTTCGGCGAGATAATTACGTCGCCTGCGGGTGGCAGCTCTGTGCTGCTGCAGCAGCCCACACTATTGCAAGGTGGTTTCGATGCTGCACTGGCGCATCAGCAGCAGATCCAGCAGCACCAACAGCAACAGCAGCAGCTGCAGCAACAGCAGCTGCTGCAGCAGCAACAGTTCCAGTATCACCAGGCGCCACACAGCGGCGCAGCAGGCATGCAGATGGAGATTCTGCCTTCACACATGTACCAGCAGGCAGCGGCATCCCAGCAGTTGTATCCGCAGTATGTTCATCCACAGCTTCCGCCGCGCCCACCCATAGTCCTACGCAGCCCCGACAGAGCTCCCGTTCGATTTGCAGCTGCCCCCGCGCCAGCACCGGCAGCAAGTTCCAAGCCCGGCGGCGTGCAAGTGCCTTGGCCGGCGCAGAGTGCAGCCTTGGATGCGAACGCTGCCAGCCATGCCGGAGGATTTAGTGAGCAACACATGTTGTCTAGTTCGTCTGCTTCCATAGGACCCCCGTGTGTTGGTGGACATATTCGCAGACCAGGAGCTTTGAAGATGCCGGCTGCCAGAATGACCAATGAGATGCTGGAGGCAAAGCGTGTATTGGCGAGAAAACACAGCACGATGGCCAAATCTTCGGAAAAACTACTCCAGCGAGAATTTCGCCCAGCTGCTTCCAATGCTACACCAGCGGCCGTGGTTGCCAATGCGGCGTACCAAGAATCACTGACTGCCATGCAGTCCCAGACCCCAGAAGGTAAGATCAGTGTGTCTGTCCGCGGGGGTAGGGGGGGGGGGGGGGGGGGGAGAAAATGACGATTTCGCGTTTATAACGATTTTTAGAAATCCACAATTTCCGCAAAATTGCTATTGTTATTTTTGCCGCTTTTGTAGGACAAAAACATCCTAAGTGTGCGTGCATCTCATGGGCTGGTGACTTCCTGAGTCTCTGTACATACATTGCAAGTGCACCATACACCATAATTCAGAACCGAAGCGCAAGACATAGGCAGCTTTCTGGCAGGCACACGTGCTAATAGGCCAATGTACTTGGAAAGTGTGCAAGAAAAATCGTTGCAATGGATTTCCGCAAAATTTCGCCGCAGAGTGTGCCAATGTCTACTCCCATGTGTGCCACGAATTTGGAGATTTTCTTCCACGGTAGTTCCCGGGGACAGGAGTGTGCATGAGTGTAGTGTTGTGTATGTATGTCTGCATGAGTGGGGGCTGGTGTGTTATATTTACATCGCTAGTCATACGGACAATTATGTCCAATGTTCTGACAATGGAGAGGGAAAAACGACAAAAGACAAGATAACCTGACAACAGCGAATGTGCTGAAGAAAACAGCAGAGAATTGCAGGAGTGATGTCCTCCTCACTCTCAGCAATGCTAATTTGATGGCAATATGGAGGCGTCAGTCATCCCCTTGAAATTACAAAAGTATTGCCAGTCCAGTTGATATTCATGTTCTTCATCTACATTCCCTTCATCCAAACTACAGTCCCACTGGATTTTGAAAGCAAGATTTTGGCCGAACTGAGGCTCAAAACCCAAATTTTAAACTTTTCAGGGTTTGCCTCTCCAATCATTTAGCCATGGCATGCCTTTCCTATTATTTGTAAAATCTGGCTGAATTCTAATTCCCGGTCCTTGGACTTTTCAGGTCTCAGGTCTGGCAAGGAATACTCTCAAGCGTCTCACAATGCAGGATGTGCTGTTGCTTTCGCCATAGCTACAACTATAGTACGAGTGACACAGTACCCAAATGTGAGGCACCACTGCCTCTCTCTCTCTCTCTCTCTCTCTCTCTCTCTCTCTCTCTCTCTCTCTCTATCCATCCAACTATCTATCCAACTATCTATCTATCTATCTATCTATCGATCTATCGATCTATCGATCTCTCTCTCTCTCCCTGTGCGGTGCCCTCTCTTTCTTTATGTAGGTGATGTCATGACGATGTCATCCCAGGCCAAAGGGGGTGATGATGAACAGAGAGCATGTACTGCACTAACCGCCAAAATGCAGCAAACTATTGCGGCAATCACTCGTCAAGAAACGGCCATAGGTGATGCGTCCCAGGACGTATGGAAAGAGCCGGGTGAAGGAGCAAAGCAGCGTAGGCAGCGGCGCAAACAGGAGCCCACCTCGTCCAGTGGTCCTCGGGATGAGACTAGCTTTGTAAGCTCGCCATCTGCAGCAGTACTAGCTGCCGTTTCCAGCATTTCCAAGTCCAGCAAACACGGCGACAAGGTGCAAAGCAAGCGACATCGCAAGTCCAGCAGACCAGTGACACCACCGCCGATATCGTGTGCTCTGCACAAAAGAGAGCCACCCTTCAGGTGAGCATTGGTCCACTAGAATTTGAGCAGTTTATGTAGGCTTTGTGCGTGTGTGCGTATGTGTGCGTATGTGTGCTTGTATGTGTGTTTATACCCAATGCTGTAGACAGTGTTTATATGTTTGTGTGTGTGTGTGTGTGTGTGTGTGTGTGTGCGTGCGTGCGTGGGTGTGTGTGTGTGTGTGGGTGTGTGTGTGTGTGTGTGTGTGTGTGTGTGTGTGTGTGTGTGTGTGTGTGCGTGCGTGTGTATGTGTGTGTGCGTGTGTATGTGTGTGTTTGTGTGTGTGTATGTGTGTTTGTGCTCATGTATGGCATTGTCAGTTTGTTTTAGTATACGCGCTGTCACATTATGTATGTGTACAACCGTGTGCTTTTCTTTGTGCTTCAGCCATCCGTTTGGCCGTTCTACGACGAACAATAAGTATCGCTGTGTGGAGTGTACGCAGGTACTGGAGACATACGTCCGTATGCATGGATCTACTCCTGACTCGTCCCAGAAACGCCAGGTAAATCAGGACAATCCCTGGATTACAGCAATGGGGACTGTCTTTCTTTTACCCTCGGACGGTTTTTCTTCTCTCGCTCACTCTCTCTCTCTCTCTCTTTTAACACACACACACACGCACACACGCACGCATGCACTCACACACGCACACGCACTCACACACACACACACACACACACACACACACTCATACATGCACACACACACACACACACACACACACACACACACACATCCACACACACGTGTTGCTCACTGCCGAAACTGGTCACATGGGTCTCCCCAGGAGAGAGGAAAGAGACTCAAAAGGAATCTTGGAAAGATGACTCAATTGGCTATTGAACCGCCCAACGGGCGACACCCCTGAGCCCCCCCCCCCCCCCCCCAAAGTGGGTGAGGAGAATGTGCAGAGAAAGGATAGACGGCATCAGGGTGGCCGTCCCGGGATACAACTGCAGTTACCCCTGCCCCCAGTGAAGGTAATACTTGCAACTACTTAGTCCGCGTCATCAACATAGTCGCTTATCTTTGAGCTTTGTTTTTATGTTGCCAATGCTCACTTGGCAGCCCATTTCATCTCAATTTTGGTTAGTAAGTTAGTTTACTAGTAACTGAAAGGTCTAGATAGATTTCGAGTTGATTTCGAGAGTGACGGGTGGGTGATTCTGATTGATATCACGCCGCATCAAAATAGATTATCTTGTCGCACTGCGCAGGCAAGAGCAGCGCGACTCACAAGAAAATAATCGGCTACTGGGAATCAGTTCCATTTGCAAAAAGGCTGACATAGCCAGCAATCGCATGTCATCACGTACATTCAAAATCAACATAATTTTGCGAATCGACCTTTTTTTCAGGATCACTTTTCAACGAGGACGAAGCAAAGTCGGCCGAACGAAGCCTAGAGGAAGAAAATCACCCTCTCCACTTCACCATCACGATACTGACATAGATACGAGATGAAACAACTAAAAAATCCACAAGAAAACTGTACGGCCATCATCGCGCTGACTTTGGTCTGACTTTGGTCTGAGAATTTCTATCACGATCAAAAATGTACGAGGAGCACTCAAAAATAAGCCACAGACGTACCTTTATCGCTCTCTACTCCTTTTTCAAGGCACAAAAGTCGACTCTCCACTTTCAAACCAGGAACCAGACATACCAGTGGTCCTTTTCAGCTGCTCCACGAGCGCAGGAAATGTTCACCAAGGGGCACAGAGCAGCATCCATTCCAGAAAAAGAGCTAAAATACGAGTGAGACTGCATGACTGAGTACATGAGTACATGTATGAGTACATGCAGAAAATAGTCAATTTCAGCGTTTCTGCTCCAAACAGCAACTAGCTTCGACTAGAAACAAAGATTACACCAAAGGATCAAAAAACAACCATTTTCTGCAGTTTTTTTGCAGATGGCTTCCTTGTGCTTAGCCCAGCACGCCAAAAATCACACCTCGGAGGAGTACAAAAATTACAACTCTCAGATGTCCTCGATTGCTGGCCATGGATCGCTCACTTCGGACATCACTCGCCTAGCTGAGATCGCAGTTCCCTCACCTCCAGCTCAACGCTCGGAGTATCCAGTGTCCATCGCATCGTTGAGATTTACAAGTACTGTACGAGTCGTTGTCATTTAATATAAAACCTTGCAAAGAAAGGCGACTGATTTGAATCACACAGGTAGTCCTGCTGTCCACGCAAAGTCCTGTAGAGAAGGCAGCTGTCATGATTGACTTCCCTTTTAAGTTAGAAAATAGCCAGGCAGCTGAGAGGAAGAAAGATAAGCTTGCGAAAGCGAGAGAGTCGACCCCGAGCAAAAATATATGTCACCAGCGCCGAGAGCAGCGACGAGGAGGACCTAAAAAAGGATGAACCCTTCCTTGGACAATAAATTCCCTGTGGCTAGTTGTCATTCTATACCTTACCTTCCATCTTACCAAGTGTCATCACCTCAAGTGCACGCGTTGTTGTCCAAAGTGTAAATTCAAATTTTCGAAAGATAAGCGACAATATTGCAGACTTGGACCAAGCAGTGTGGGTAGTTAAATCAGAATGGATCAGATATAAACTTCACTAGCACCATTGATTACACAAGCGTTAATCTAGCCAGAACCATCCATGATTAACAGGTATCTATACTTCAAATAGAAATTATATGAACCCTGGAAGCAACAAAGGTGGCAGGTACAACATTACACCTTCAAGTAGCCGAGCCTGTTGGCAACAGACCCAGCACAATCAGGCATAAGTGTACCCACCAACCGAACTAGCTGGCACACACACACACACACACACACACACACACACACACACACACACACACACACACATATATATACGCACACACGTGCACGCACACACACACACACACACACGCACGCACGCACATGCCCCCCCCCCACACACACACACGCACACGGGTGTCACGCTGCTCTCGGTAGGCAGCGTTGGTGCTGGTTTGTTCTGCAATGTTTGTTACTTTCCATGGCTGGTGCACTCTGGCACTAGGTCCACAGGCTCTCTTTGAAATGTCTGTTGTGCCACCTTTGGGCCATGGCTGGTAGTTCAGTTTACCTGAAGCTTGAAGCTGTACTGATGAGGCCTAGATGGCCAAAACAGCTAGCTGTTTATAGCATTGAGCATACATACACACACACACACACACACACACACACACACACAAACACACACACACACACACACACACACACACACACCATTGGACCATTGGACCATTGGACGCCCATCGCCGAAGGAGATGATAGCGATGCTACAGCAGAAGCCATAGCAGCTTGTGCTGGGATTGAACCATTCAACAACTTGCAAGGCTGAAGAATTGACTGCCACTATTCAGCCTGGTCTACATCACACAGCTATGAAGTGGCACACACACACACACACGCACACTCTCTCTCTCTCTCTCTGTCTCTCTCTGTGTGTCTGTCTTACACACATGCACAAACACACAAACACAGTCATGTTCTCCCATTCTTGCATTCTTGCGCCGTCCTGTTAATCTCATAGTCGAATCAAAACGTTAACACTTTTCTTTATGGAAGTGTCCATGCGAGCCCTGTACAATGCAAGTTCCGTATTGCTCGTTGTGACCGGATTTCAGTAAGCGGGACAGCACCACAGTGAGACAATGCCCCCCCCCCCCCTCACACTCATTATTTTGTCATAATTATTAATTTTGTGTTTTTTTTAGGCAATTCAGGAGTCGATAGTCCTTACAGATGGGTCAGACAAAAAGGCATACTTGTCTGGGATGAAGGGGGGGGGGGGGGGAGGAAGGATGCGAACTCGTACGTTGCATTTTGCATGGCCAGACAATTTAGGAAAATGGAACAGTGGGTAAGTCTTTCCCCTGCCCCTCCCCCCCCCCCCCCCCCCCCTCTACTTTTTGGCTAAAACCCTGCCTGGCGTGTGTCTTCGTCACGAGTGACTATCAACAATTTTGACCTCGGATGTTGAGCCAAAGTAATCATGGATAAAAAAGAAATGGCAAAATATTCCTTGTCGGTTTTTGCCATTTTGTCGAACTCGCTGACTGTATGTAATCTGGTTACGTTGGTGGACAGTTGGTTGGTGGACAGTTTGTCATAACTCGTAACATTTGTCCTTTCTTTGTGTCAACCTTTTATTTCGCTCCGTTCTCTATTTCTCCGTCTGCAGCTTCTACCACTGGTTGGCATGACGATATCTCAAATCACCTACTGGTTTTCGAACAAGCGACGGCGCACCAAGCCAAAAGAGACGACCGCTGACCCGTCTCACTGTGCCGACAAGAGTGGCGCGCGGACGGAAGTGAAATCAGCCACCGACGTGCCGGCATTGAACGCGGCAGCCAGTATTCCACCGGGAAGCAGAGCAGCGAAGTCACGCTTGGACTCTCCTGGAGCGCGGCGACGGCCGTCAGATGCAACGCCAGCGCCTGCAGAGACTGGAGCTGTGGACGAGCGAGTCGACAGCGACGACTACGATGATGCCGAAGTCGATGTTTGCGAGCGCTCATCCTCCACTCCAGCCACCGATAGCCAGCGTTCGAGCGAAGACGACCGCGCCGCGACGATGTCATTGTCATCGGTGAGAACGGCAGGTCAGCTTAGCAGCGCTCAAAGCAAGTCTGACTGCGCCGACTGCCCGCAGCCTCGCAGCGCCGCCACTGCCGCCGTGTCCCGCAGCGGCAAGCAACGGGCACGGCGCACCCCGCGACGCCTGCGACTGCGACTCGGCTCCTCCGCATCGTCGGCGTCCAGCCCAGTGTCACAATGCTCCAGTGATGATCTGTCTGACAACACTCCCTACACGCAGCATTCCAGTGAGGAGGATAGCTGCAGTGCCAGCCAAGAAGGTACTTACAAGGCCGGCCGCGGGAAGAAGAGGAAGAAGAAGACCGAGGACACGAGCACTGCAGCTGTCGGCATTGCCAGCACTCCCATACTGGTCAGTGAACTTTTCACAACTGGCTGCCATACAGAGCACAGCCTTGACTCCATACAGCCACCACCTGCCCAGCATCCATCTACGGAACACGGACCAGTCCCCATGGCAACACAGGCGGTGGAAAATGAGAATTCAGATGCAGATTCTCCCACCGGTGCTCCCACCATTGATGATGCTGTTGAGCCAACACAAGCTGCAGATCCAGATGCCCATGATGACGAGGCTGAGGTTGACTTGCCTGACAATGATAACTCGCCGTCTCCACCATCGAAGTCTTCTGGCGCTGTCTGTGACGAATCCTTGCATGGCTGTCCCAGCTCCATGGGCCGTGAAAAGAAGGAGAATGTTGCACCGAACAACAGTGATGGTGACATGCAGTGCGAAGACTCCCAACCGGAGCAGCAGGCCATCGGCAAGGGGCAGGAACCCAGTGAAGACGTTCCAGCGTCGGGGTCCTCTGGGGTTGGCTGTGACGACTCCTTGCAAGGCTCTGACAGCTCCATGGGCCGTGATAAGAAGAATAATGATGCACTGAACAGTGGCAGCGACATGCAGTGCGAAGACTGCCAACCGCTGCAGCAGGCCAGTGACTCTGGGCAGGAACCAAGTGAAGGCCCATCGGCTTCACCATCACAGTCAACACCGTCCGAGAGTACTACACTAGCCCGGATGACATAATTATGATCATGTTACCTTGACAACATCAGCTGACCTACTCATGTGGCTAGTCCGTTAAGTGATTGTCCTGTACGACCCCCATCCTAAGGAGAGCGGATGTAGTTTCACGCCGTCGAACATGCCGTGAAATGTCGTGTTCCACAAAAGGACCAGCAGCAGCAGCAACAACAACAACAACAACAACAACAACAACAACAACAACAACGACAATGATGACAAAGACAGGGACAATAACAACGACGATGACGACGATGATGATGACGACGACGACGACAACAGCAACAGCAGCAACAGGATCAGCACTGAAGGTGACAGTGTTTGTCTGGACTAGATTCGGCATTGTCCAAGTACGATTGCGTAACATGCAATGTCACTTAGCAGTAGCATATGCCAGCAGTGTGTCTTGATTGGTGCGTGACCGACAAACAAAACATTAGTGATATTGTTGGACTGCTTCGCTAGATAGAAAACAAACTTACTTGTAGTGCTCTGCGTACTCTTGCATGTACCTGTTTCCCTTCAGTCCAGTATAAACATAGTTTTTTGGGGGGGGGGGGTCTCCCCTCTTCTTGTACATCTGCTCTTTTGTGCATTTAGTGAATTATTGTAAACTACTTCAGAAGTATCATAGTAAAACATGCAGAGATGTCTTGGAGTTGCGATCCAGCCGTTGCAATGATGCATAATCAAAAACAGACAACAAGACGATGGTTGTAAGTGAAACGCTTTTGCATGCTTGCAATTGTTATTATCCCTATCAGGCTGTCTTTGTCTTGCCTCCTGATTTTTCCTCTTTTCCTTTTTAGCTTTGGCTTAGACTGCCCTTCTTCTCATACGTTTTGTTTATGTGGTTGGTTTAGCTTGATGTAAACTTTGACTTTGAGCTGAAACCTGATAACGTTATGTCACCTTCCTACCTTCTTTTTTTGTTAGTACAAGTAGTGAAAATGTAAGTAGTAGTAGTAGTAGTAGTAGTAGTAGTAGTAGCATAGACTTGGAGTTTCTGGTCATGTTCGGTAATGTTAACTCGCAAGAACTTCAGAATATGAAAAACAGCCGTGTTGTCAGAAGATGTCATGCGTATTTCGTTGTGATAGAGTTATTGTACTTGAGGCAATGCAGTGGAGTACGGGGGTAAAGTGGGGTAGGCAAAATAACCTGCTACGTGTATGTGTGCGTTATAGCCGTCATTACCGCCCATCAAGGAGCCATTCCTAAACATGATGGTACTTGCGTGGGGTGTGCACGTGAACGCGCATGCGCGCGTGTGTGTTGGGGTCGGGAGGGGGGGGGGGGGGGGGGTGCACAGCTGAGCCTGGTACATGATTGTATGTGTGACTGCGTTGTTCCTTGGACGGCGTATGTCTGTGCATGCTTGTGTGTCACGCTCGTACGCAAAACCAAGTGGGGGGGGGGGGGGGGCATATCAGTCTCAGAGATAAGGGTGGCATATGTATAATGACAATGTCATGCTCATCATATTCATAGCAGCAAGATAGGTAGGAAAGTTTTCCTGGATCGAAAATACTCACAAATAAATTCTTGTTGGTTAAGTAGTGTCCGCGTACATGTACGTGTACGTGCGTGCTAAATCTGCGAGACAGTGCTCTTGGTCCTCAACCCCACAATAAACGATGCTTACTCCTGGAAATCGCTTTCAGTCTCCTTGCCCATTTCGTGTTGTGCAAAAGACATCATGTGCAGCTGCTGGTATCACTGCACCTGTACTAGCTGTGTCTCGATCAGCCCTGTTTATTGCAGCAAAAATTGCGAAAACTCCCGGCCCTCCCCCAATTTTGTTATCTAAAGTCATTCATGCACACGCATGCATGCAGACCTACCGATACCAGGATACGGCCCATACGGGGCCGGACGGGGGTGCACCGGCCGTGTATGGCGATTTCGGACTATGGGTAGGTCTACGTGTGTGTGTGTAGCACGCGGTAGATCAACGGACGTGAATCATACCAGTCCCGGACCGAGGGCTCTAGCCTCTACTGCTCTAGCTAGCCTAGGACTCCAGTAGGAGTAGGAACAGGAAGGGCTCACTTGACTTGCTAACAAGTGCACTGCACTGATTCAGTGCAGCGACCAAGGCAACGGCAAGGACACTGTTCAACAGACTAGTTTTGACCACGGTCGTGTGTGTGTTTTAGCGAGCTTTGACCAGGCACGGCGCAATTCATAAATCCTTTCTCTAGTCGTGTGACTGTCGGCGCTACTCCTCTTGTGAAGTAACATTGTTGTGTAGAACTCATAGTCCGTGTCCGTTGCGTGACTAGTGCTAATGCAGGGTTTGTGAGCTTGTGGCAGTTCACGTTCTAGTCTTGCTTTGACTTCCAAAACGTTGCTGCTGAATTTTCGCTGTCGTGTCAATCAAGCAAGACGTCTTCTAGGTCCAGACTAGGATTATCTTCTCCGTGTTGTTCCACAGCGAAAATAAGGTGAGTGTCCTTTTCCGGTTTTTCCTTGAGTTGAGCTGGGCGGTGTGTCGCTAGCACTACTACGGATGTGGGTGCTCTTCGCTGAAGGGTGTTGTAGAAGATCCGTAGCAAGGTTGGGTAACAGCGCTAGCTAGCGAGCGGTACAGCTGCTTTGCACTGGTACCATGGTATGGAAGAGGTGTTAGGAAAGGCTTGTCCACCACTAGTGCACTGTTGTCCGGATCTAGTGCTAGTAGTGAAAGAGCGGTACGCGGTGTGGTGTTGCTTGCCGGTGCGCCGGTGGTGAGCTATCGTCGCGGCAGGGTCACCTACTGTGGTAGTCTTGTCGCCTTTCCCAGCATCGTGCCATCTACTAGACTAGTAATGGTGGTGAGATGTACGAGTTGGCGGAAAACGACTTCCGAGCCCGCCGCGCATCCGCTGCTGATCAGACTTCGGCGTGCTCCCTCTTGTTCTAGATTTAGTAAAGTAACACGTCGTTAGTGGCTTCCAAATCGTTGTTCCTCTCTAGTTCTGGCTCGTTCTGGCCATGGATAGGGATAATGTTTCCCGCTGGGCTGTGAGGCGGCACGATGGGGGATGTCGCAGCTGGCGGTGTCACAGTGGTTGGTTGTTTTGCGCCGCTCTGTCAAGGCGGAGTGCGAGCATTCCCAATTTCCCACACAGTCGTGCTGCACGCATTCCTCGTGTTTTGCGTTGGTCTGAACTGACTTTGCTCAAAAGACGGCTACATGTATTCCGTATTGTTGTTGCCCCGGAGAGTCGAACTGCTTTCAGTGCAGGAGAAAACTACAAAATCGATCAGCCGTCTAGCATTATGATGATGACACAAGAGATATTTTTTGTAGAAAGAAGTTACCGTAGTTTCATGTTGCAAAGATCGACAACAGCGAAATTCCAAGCGATCCTGCATGCTTCCAGATCATACTACTGTACTGAGCAGGGCAGCTGACCTAGCCAGGAACTAACTTGAGGAAGTGGGGATTGGAAGTGGCCCCACTTGTGACACCGGTGTTGCCAAGAGGTTGTGGCGTGCGAGCGAATGTGTTTGTGGTGCATTCAGTGTTTTGAGTGCAAGGGTTCGGCCGAGAATCCGAACCCGAAATGCAACGGGAGAATTCTTCGTAGCACCAAATTTAGTATGGAAATCCCATCCATGCCCCATCTGGTTCCTTGTTTCGTCAATGGAAAATTCAAACAATACTCACTTGGAGTAAACGTTTGGGTGTGTATTGATATAGAGCCTGAAGCAGCCACCGTCGTTACTGTGCATATTCCTGCTGGGGTCTACATTAGGCCCAGACAGATACTGCCGGCAATTCGTCCGGCAGAATATCGAAAAATTGAAAGAGCGGGAATTGCCGGCAAAATCGGAGCAAAATATCGAGATGTTGGGTAAAATCGATGCCTGATACTTAGAATAATGATGTCCTTGTTTCTTACCCGTCCAGCACTATACGCTGCCCAGGACAAGACCATGTCACCGAAATGTCACTGGAATTCACTGTGGATCGACATGGCTTTTGAAGAACTCAGGGGCACGTGCATGGAAACCCGTGTTGAGAAACCAACGCTGCGATTTCTAAGAAACGTTGTACGGGAAGTGGATAAAATACACGTTTTTCCGGAGCAAAATGGAGCAAAATATCGAGTTTCTAGTGCCAGGCTCGGCAGAATATCGAAGATTTGGCAGCAACATTTTGCGGCAAAATATCGAGGCGAGCGGAACAAAATCTGTCTGGGCCTAGTCTACATGACACAGAATACACTGGGGTGGTGAGTGTGGTGACTGGCGATCAACTCACGAGTCACCGTCGGTCTATCGCGAGTCACCGTCAGCGTTTCGTGTTCTGGTACCGTACTGGCACGTTGAAGGCGATGAAGGCAGCTCTCACGAATGGGGAGCAGCATGTACAAATGTCCACTGAAACCCAGGGGTATTGTTGCTGTTGATAACAGTTGGGGGCTTTGCAGAGATAATGTAAATTCAGCGATGCGACACTTTGCTTTGTGTCCCTGACTGTGATTGTGTATTTCAGAGATGCGTAGGGGAACATGTTACTAATGAACAATCTTCTATGTTACCTTCATAAGATATTCATGTGACAGTGGGCGCGTTTGATTACGCGCATTTCGGTCAATTCCAGTACTTCGGAGTTTAGTTATGGTGGATGCACCATTCGATTACACAAATTCCGAAGAAAGGGCGGAATTTCTAAATCTCGAACCAGGATTGACGCACTCGTCGTACCGTACACACCATGCTAGGTCCACGTGTGCGCGAGAGTGTACGGGATCCCACGTGATCCCCCATTTATTATTTCTACGCGTAGTCCTTCGTTTACATGGCCGCAATCCGTTCATTCTGTCCATGCGAAACCTGGGACCAGAATGTGTGACTGTGTAGTGGAAAGTGCCCAGTATAACGTCAGTGCAGTACACCCCTGGTTAATACTGGATTATACGTATATAATACAACCTAACAGTACGCTTGTACGTGAAATATAAACCGACATACAAACCGAGGCGAAGCCGAGGTTTGTATGTCGGTTTATATTTCACGTACAAGCGTACTAGTGGGATGTATTATACTTATGCTGACCAACTGACAGTCAACTTCTTCCTGTTTCTATGTTGGTGGTCTATGGGGTTTGTATGAGGTATGAAGTTTATATGCCCAGTATAAACCGCCAGCATGATGGGCAAGTTGACTGGAAGTTTGTATGAAAGGTCAGCATAAAGTACTATAATTATTAACTGTTATAAGAATATACTCAGATGGAGAGCCAATGATTAATTTGTAGTAAAGAAGAGGACCAAGACGCTACAAGTTACGCTATAATGCCCACTAACACCAGCACTTACTTGACAATCAGCTTGCAATGTTATCACATGAGCTGATTGTCAAGTAACTCGTGGTGTTAGTGGACATTATGGCGTAACTTATAGTTCCTTGGTCCTTTTCTTTACCAACAATTATAAGACCTTGCATTGCACTGTATCAGTCTATTGACATGGGGTATACATTAGGGGTGAAACGAGTGCCAAAATTGGGGACTCGAGTACTCTTTGAAAAAACGAGCGAGTATTCGAGTGAGTACGAGTATTTTACAGACTACATAAAACAATGCAATGCGCCCACTCTCGCAAAACCGAAAGTAGTACACCCGATACCCATGTAGTCTTGCATGCAGCCTAGTGCAGGAAATAGTCTGAACTACTGTCTTTAGCTGGTAAGGGGCCGTCCGTAAATATCGAACTTTTTTCACCAAACGAATTACTTTAGTTTAGACCCAACCCCTCCCTCCCTCCCCCTCAGAACGTAAAAAATGTTGACATACATGCATATACAACGGACATGTACATGAATCAATGTTTTCTGGAACGAAATTGGTCAACCCCCTCCCACCCCATAACGAAATTATTTCGTTTTGTGAAAAAAGTTCGATATTTACGGACGACCCCTAAGTAGGGACAAGCAATAATTTCGCGCTTGCATGGGCCATCAGCACCGGTCAAAGTAACAGCAAGGCTTGATGTATATGCATACAATACACTGTACGTAGAATACTTCGAGTATTTTGCGAAACGAGTACTGGCTCCAGAGAACACCTTCGACTCGGCAAACCTGCAAGAAAGCACCACTCCCTGCTCAATACACAGTGTTTCGGGGAATTCACCCCTCATCAGTTGAGCTTGAGTAGGCTGAGGAAGATTGTGCCTGAAGAGCACCACTTATATAGTGCTGTCCAGGCACAAACATCACCAGGGATACAAACTTACAGAGACACTCCGTTTCCAGCGCGACAAACACCTCGTGAACACCAGACAGCAGCGTGAGTCAGTTATCGCTCCTGGACGGTGAGAACAGACGAAGAGGACCCTCGGTCATTCACAACGCTGTCACCTCCAAACCACCTAGTCGCACGCCCGCGCTGGGCACAACAGTACGAAATAGAGGTTGCGACTTCGGCGATGATTTTTGTTTAGGAATGGGTTTGCTCCCACACTGGAGCTCGCGCTATTCCGCCGACGACTTGACACTTGACTGACTCACGACTGCCATCCAGAGAACACGAGAAGTCCATCGAACCTTCGACTCGGCAAACCTGCAAGAAAGCACCCCGATGGACTTCTCGTGTTCTCTGGATGGCAGTCGTGAGTCAGTCAAGTGTCAAGTCGTCGGCGGAATAGCGCGAGCTCCAGTGTGGGAGCAAACCCATTCCTAAACAAAAATCATCGCCGAAGTCGCAACCTCTATTTCGTATTTTTGAGTACTGGCTCGTTTCAAAAATTCGAGCGAGCGCTCGAGTATTCGATATACTCGTTTCACCCCTAGTATTGTATACATGTACAGAGTAGTTCTCCTAGTAGCCCTGATTGCCTGGATTATGAAGTACTTATAGTTTGGTGTGTCGTGCTGTTGTTTCAAAGTGCTTCTTTGTGTTCTCCATTGGCAAAGCAAGACTCTTCCTGCGAATGCTGTGCGAATCAGCAAACAAGTATGTGACATCTAGCATACTACTCGCTAAGTGTTATGAACCAATCATCTGACTCCATAGGTGGCTCAGTGGGAGGGAAGAGCATTGTGTACAGCTGGTTTGTTCACAGTTGGCAGCTGCTCTACCTGCTGAGTGCTGTAGCACAACTGCCAATGGCTTCACTGGATATCCATAAATTGATGTGCAGTAACGTCTGTGCGCCTGGCTCTTGCAGTCATGGTGAAGTGTACATGACTGTATAGTTGTGCTAACTAAAATCCAACCTAAGGTGCAAAGCTGGCCCCATGGACCAGTTCCAATTCCATCACTGCACTTGTACTTGTACGCGTGAACGCAGAGCCACACTGGTGCCATTTCCAGGGTGCCATCCGCCCCCCCCCCCCCCCCTTCCTGCAAGTCAAGGGGGCTAAATGTTCACTCCGGGTCGGATTTCACTGAGTGAAACTGTAGCTAAATGCACTGGAATCATGGCATCATGGCATGGCACATATGTACACTCACACACCCCTTATCCGGGGCAGGACCGGCACGGCCATTACTTTGAAACTACTGTTACAATGAATCATATACTTTTCCCGTGGGGAAGAGATCTGGTGTGTGACGTCGCTATTTCAACAAAAAAAATGGCATAAAAGTAGAGAAAAATTGTAATATTTCCTCTAAAAGCCACACACAAGGTGCCCAGTGGACTGATGTGCTCAGAGCATCGAGATCCGAAGAAGAAAGACTCGAATGTACTTCTATGCAACTTGTCTGCCAACAGATAGTGGCAGCTTATCAAGATGATGATGACATTCCTAGATAAAAAATGGTGTATTCAGCACTATCGATAATTTTCATGCACAGACTCAGAGCATGTTTTTGTTATGACCCTCACCCACCCATCCAACCCTTTCTACGACAAATATATTGATTTGACAGCGATAATGGATTTTTGTTCTACCTATCGAGTGTACTTAGCGTTTCTTGTCATAGCTATCATCCGGAGGATTGTAAAATGCCCATATTGAGAGTAGCAGTCATCCAGAGGATTGTAAAATGCCCATATTGAGAGTAGCAGTCATTCAGAGGATTGTAAAATGCCCATATTGAGTGTACTCGCTCTCAGTTTACCTTTGTAGTGCTGGTGTGGTCCTGCGCACCTAGACATACCAAATTTACACCATCGGCAACATAAACACCACAAACAAATTAATGTGCACCTGTATGTGCGTGTGTGTGCGTGTGCGTGCGTGCGTTTGTGTGTGTGTGCGTGCGTGCGGCCGTGCGTGCGTGCGTGCGCGCGTGTGTGTGCGTGTGTGTGTGTGTGTGTGTGTACTTGCTTGGTTTTAGAAATGCCTCTGATCATTCTTCTTGTAGCCCTTTGTGCCTTCTCTGCTGACGGTAAGTTGATTTGGCTTCTATGCCTTCCATGTTTATGAAAATAAGAACAGTGCTGTTCGTTCCTGAGTTGGACCTGGGTTACCGATTGGTTTGCGGCGATGCTACAGTGTTCTGCAATGATAGTGTTCTGCGATGCTATAGTGTTCTGCGATGCTATAGTGTTCTGCGATGCTATAGTGTTCTGCGATGCTATAGTGTTCTGCGATGCTATAGTGTTCTGCGATGCTATAGTGTTCTGCGATGCTATAGTGTTCTGCGATGCTATAGTGTTCTGCGATGCTATAGTGTTCTGCAATGCTATAGTGTTCTGCGATGCTATAGTGTTCTGCAATGCTATAGTGTTCTGCAATGCTGTAGTGTTCTGCGATGCTATAGTGTTCTGCGATGCTATAGTGTTCTGCGATGCTATAGTGTTCTGCAATGCTACAGTGTTCTGCGATGCTATAGTGTTCTGCAATGCTATAGTGTTCTGCAATGCTGTAGTGTTCTGCGATGCTATAGTGTTCTGCGATGCTATAGTGTTCTGCGATGCTATAGTGTTCTGCGATGCTATAGTGTTCTGCAATGCTATAGTGTTCTGCAATGCTGTAGTGTTCTGCGATGCTATAGTGTTCTGCGATGCTATAGTGTTCTGCAATGCTATAGTGTTCTGCGATGCTATAGTGTTCTGCAATGCTATAGTGTTCTGCAATGCTGTAGTGTTCTGCGATGCTATAGTGTTCTGCGATGCTATAGTGTTCTGCGATGCTGTAGTGTTCTGCGATGCTATAGTGTTCTGCGATGCTATAGTGTTCTGCAATGCTGTAGTGTTCTGCGATGCTATAGTGTTCTGCGATGCTATAGTGTTCTGCAATGCTATAGTGTTCTGCGATGCTATAGTGTTCTGCGATGCTATAGTGTTCTGCGATGCTATAGTGTTCTGCAATGCTATAGCAGGGTTCTAGTCAAAGGGGGTAGGGGGGCGCAGCGCCCCCTACTCTGTTTGCGCGCCCCCTGTGAAAGATTGCCGCCCCCATACTCATTTTCCGATTTTCGTGTTTTTCATGCATAGATGATTCGTAAAGGCACATTTGTCTGGGGTGAAGTCAGGGATTCGCCCCATACGTTGCATTTGGTGTGGCAAGACAATATTGGAAAGTTGAAAAATGGGGTAATTGTTTCCCATGCCCCCCCCCCCCCCTACTATTTTGACCTGGCTAGAACCCTGCTATAGTGTTCTGCAATGCTATAGTGTTCTGCAATGCCATAGTGTTCTGCGATGATATAGTGTTCTGCAATGCCATAGTGTTCTGCAATGCCATAGTGTTCTGCAATGCTATAGTGTTCTGCAATGCTATAGTGTTCTGCGATGATATAGTGTGCATTCTCCTGTGTTTACTGTTTGTGGTCAGTGGCACTACACTCTGTTGAGTCAATGTGGAACTGTTTGCGTCGTGGAGTGACCCCCCCCCCCCCCCCCCGACATATTCTAATCGTGTTCTCCTTGATGATAATACCTTTTTGAACAGGACCCTTGGTCGGCTAAGCTTCACAGGTCCCACCCACTCCGTCCTGCTGGATATGTACCATTGTGTCGAGTTCTCCTCCTCATTTTAGTTCATCATGCAGTGAGTGTTCAATAGTAAAAAAATAAAAAATAAAAACACAGGCCATCATTTCCCGCAACTTTCTATTATTTTGGTTGAAGAGTCTGTGTTCACCATTGTTGCAAGCAGTATGAGCAGACTTCTGAGCTAGCTTGTGATAAGTCCTACTTTCACCCTCCAGGGATCGATCTGTTTCTGTCACTGGCTGGACAATTTGTTTTGAACGTCTCAGGGGGAGTGAGACAGTGTGTTTTTATTGGTTTCTTGAGATTGTCGGAGAAGTACTTTCTCCCGTTCTGCTAGCCTTAGCTATGGTGTGCCCATGGTGATTCTATTCTTGTCCAGGTCAATCTGTGTCGCTGTCGGCCTCAAGCCTGCCAGGCAGCGCTCCCTACACTATCTACGTCGCCGAGAATGTCTACGTCAACTCCCTCAGAGCAAGCGGCGCCACCACCTTCTTACCCGCGTGCTCGGTGCTGAGCCAGGCTGGGCCGTTTATCCGTCTCGTCAACGAGGACACCAACCGGACGGTGGCGGAAACCGGAATGTTTGACAACATCGGCGGCAATCCGCCCGCCTCCGCTGTGGTCTGGAACGTCACCGCTTTCCCCGTGCTGACCCCCGAGCTGTCCGGCACGTACCGCTGCTTCACCGCCAACGACCAGTCAGTGGATACATATACAATCCGAGTTGTCAGTGAGTACAGCTGTTTTGTCCTGCAGTAAAACCTGGCTTAATTAACCGTTATCCTCCCTCGGAATTAGGAAATGGATTTTATTATTATTTATTCACGTCCGCGTTTATGTCAATGGTAAGTCTACGTATTTGCACGTGCCAGAAGACAGACGGAGCGGGCAGAGCAGAAAAAATGTAAGATAGCAGGCAATAGGCACATAACTCATGATGATAAGTGCTCAATGCTCGGGATCTATTCGAAAAATGAAAAATAAGAATAGGAATAACAGACAACGGCGATAGGTTTGTAACTCTTGTCCGATGGTAAGTCCTAAAAATGGATTTTAGTGGCCAAAAAAGTTGTCAGAAACGATCCATTTTCAGTTTTTATTATTCACTGTTCCTATATGAACCTAGAACAATAATAGAGTTTGACGGTATAATCCAGTCTCCTTTGTGGAATGGACCCTCAATACTGAGCCGATTTAGCGTATATCGGAAGCAATTTATGTTGGAAGTAGAATACCTAGTTGTATGATCCTACGTATCATCATTTTTCCAATGCGATATGTTTTGCCTATGCAACCACCCCCGCTGCATGCATGCTAGCTGTAGCAGGGCTGCCACTTACTCCGATTTTTCGGAAATCGTCCGATTTTTGATCACCTGTCGGACAAACCGACCGATTTTGTTCCCAAAGAGGGACAACTGATTATTTTATTTTGAGCGCTTTATAGTCCAGTTGGCCATTCGACGCTTCAAGTCCAGGTCGTGTTTGGCCAGTCATTGTACATGTACATGTACATGTAGCTGTAATAGGCACGCCTGCTTGCATGTGTGTGGACAGTTAAAAATGTGTTCTGGGGCCCCAACAGCAAGCCATTTTCCTAAAATAAATCACCGGTGGACACCCCCGACCCCCGTCAGATTTTTCTCCCTCCAGGTGTGGCAGCCCTGCTGTAGTGTAGTCAACAAACTCTCTCTCTCTCTCTCTTTCCCTTCCAGCTCCGGCGACGATTTACCCCCTCAGCGCGGTTACCGTCGTCGACTACAACTCCGAGTACTTTAACGTCACGTGCACCGGTACCAGCTTTCGGCCGCAGAACCTGTCGATCGTGACGGACAGCCTGGACGCGGGTGTGGTGACGCACAGCGTCATGCAAAGCTCGCCGGGTCAGTACACGATCAGCGCCACGGTCACGTTCCGCACGAACGAGACCGTGCCCATGGCGGACCAGTCGTTCAACTTTGAATGCGTCAACATGTACCCAGCCACCGCCTGCACGCCCTTCGATAACACCACTGTGGAGCAGGCGTGCCGTGACATCATCAACAGCAACGCCACAACGGCCACTACCGTTCGCGTTTATGACCTGAGTAAGTGCAGCCGTGTATTTGTTGCCCACCGAATCCAACCCTGGACCCATACGTCTTTGTCCGTCGTTCTCCTTTTCGTCTCACTCTCTCATTCCTTCACTGTCTTATATACTCTCTCTCTCTCTTTCTCTCTCTCTCTCTCTCTCTCTCTCTCACACACACACACACACCTTTGACCTTTGACGCCCATCGCCGGAGGCGATGATAGCAATGCTACGGCAGAAGCCATAGCAACTTGTGCTGGGATTACACCATTCAACAGCTTGCAAGGCTGAAGAATTGACCGTCACTATTCAGCCTGGTCTACACCATACAGCTATTTGGAGTGACATTTTCTGGCCAGTGAATCCCTATTTTTGGTCTTTTCCTTTTTTTTTTTTTTTTTTTTTTTTTTTTTTTTCCGCACACACATCACACCACATACTCCGGCATGCACTGGCTGTTGGTAACCACCCAGGAGAATGAAAGAAAAGTCAGGAAGAGTCTGAGAAAGAGAAGAAAGACGTGTGTGACCATAATCGTCGGGAATCGAACCCGCAATCTATCGATTGGAAATCGCTGCACATACCACTGCACCATATGGCACACACACACACACACACACACACACACACACACACGCACAGAAACACACACACACACACACACACTCACACACACACACTCACACACACACACACACAAACACACACACACACACACACACACACAAACACACACACACACACATAGAAACACACACACGGAATCTCTCTCGACACTATCTATATGTAGCCATAGCGGGTTTCAGTCCTCTCTGTGTACATTATTTTGCGTGTGTTTCTTTGTTCACTTGTTTGCACGTTTGCCACCTCGTCACCTTGTGATCCGAAGCTCCCTGTGCTGATATATCTGGATATGGTGGTCTGGAGTTCCCGAACGGGTTCACGTCCAGGGCAAGAGGAACGGTGGTCAGTGTGGCCTGCGCTACTGGATACGTGCAGAACGGCACGGACATCACTAACACCACCTGCATGGCCGGCCAGTGGTCCACGTTGCCCAACTGTGTCGGTACGTATAGTCGCACTGCAGGGGCGTAGCACTGGCAGTTGTAGTGTGGTGACCATGTATCAGACTGTACATCTGTGCTGTGGTGAAGGAATTGCAAGGTTCCCTGTATCGCCGCCTTCTTCACCCTCCTTGATTTCACACGCTTGGTGTTAGTTAACTAAAAGTGGGCTGTCAGCAACACTACTAACACTAGCTCATACTTGATCACAGCATTTCAAGAATTAAATTTCAGGAAAACGTATTTCAACAATTCGTTCCTGAAATAACCATCTTGGGGAATGACGTGGGTGCCGCTGGGATGGTTTAAAAATGCAGTATTGTATTCCACTTCGATGGCGTCTTTCGTATCGTACATGTATGTATGATGTTCCACCTGATACTGTTCATAGGCGACGATGCCATTCTGTATATTAAAGAGTTTTTAGTACCTGTATACCAATGTAGCGACTGTGAAGGGGGACTTGCAGACACCCTGTGTTGCATTTTTTCCGTTTCTATCATACTAGAGCACTAGTAGTAGTATGCGTTGTGTGTTTGGTTTACTGTTCTCGCTTCTCAGTTTTCTGATGACGTTTGTGTGTCTGTCCGTCGGTCTGTTCTGTGTGCCTTTATCTTCTTTATTCGTGCCCGTATGTGCATACGCATACCCGCACATGCACACACACACACGCGCGCGCGCGCACACACACACATACGCACACGTGCACATTTTCTCCCACAGACACTGACGAGTGCCTGACAACGTGCACGGATGTGAATGCCACGTGCACAAACATTGCCGGTAGTTTCACCTGTACCTGTGGCATGGGACTCACCGGCACTGGCCTCACTCCCGGATCATGTGTAGTCGACGACGGTATGTGAATTTTAACACACGTGTCACTTGTATACGAGCAGAACCGTGGTTTAATTTTGAGAAGGGCTCAAACCCTTACACTGGCTGATCACGTAATTGTTTCCGATGAGAACACGGTTTTGAAGTCACCAGAATGATGGCAATCAATTTGGCCCAGTTCTATGTTTACTGCTTGCAGTCAAAATCTGTTGCGAAAGAAGGATCCTTGAGCGGCGCTCGAATCCAGCACCCGTGTCTTACCCGGGACATTGTTGTACCGATTAGGCTACCGGGATCACACACAGACAGATACATTCCACCAAGTTCATGTTGTTATACTTATAATACGTACATGTGTAATTATCACACTATGGTCCTAGTATATTTCCTTTTTCCCATCTAACATGGTATTCGAAGCCCCACTATCGCCCCGCCTGCATTCCCTGCATGCACTTCGCATACGTATCCGTACACATTCTACGTAGTTGCTCCGCGGTATGATCCTGTCGTTTGAAAGCCCTATTTGAATATGTGGCCAGCTGTCCTTATCTACGGGATAGCGAGCCAGGTCTGGCGGCGCGTCACGTGATGACAGCCTACCACACAAACACACTCCGAAATAAAGCACTGCGGACCCAGACGCTACTAAAATAGCGTCTCTTGCATAGCTTCGGGAATAAATTTGTCGAGCTTGTGGGGCGGAATTTCTTTTTTCGAAAACCAATCAGTACCCTTGGCATACCGGTATGATTATTATTTCATTCGGATTCACCGGACTGAGAGCGCATGGAGGGGAAGAGAAGGAGAGATTGTTGAATTCTTGAACAGCCGACTGGTGCCCTTCACAACTATAGTATATTGAGGTTCACCGGCAAGGTGACTAATGAAGTGCATGTATACTCAGGGTTCTAGTCAAAGGGTGGTAGCGGTGCGTAGCGTCCCCCCCTGTGAAAAAGTGCCGTCCCAACCCATTTTCCGATTTTTGTGGGGTTTTTTCATGCCATTCAACGAAAACACGGTCGATACTCAGTACTGAAGGGTTCATAAAGGCACGCTTTTCTGCGGTTAAGTCAGGTGTTCGCCCCGTACGTTGCATTTCGCATTGCAAGACAGCTATTTTGAAAATGGAAAATGGATTACGGTGTAACCCTCCCTGCCCCCCCCCTCTACAATGTTGACCTTGCTAGAACTCTAACACTGTTACCGATCTTCCCTCTCAATTCATGTGATGCATTCTCAGGTGGTTCCAGTGGATCATCGGCACAGCTCGCATCGCTCTTGTCCATAATGCTAACGTTGATGGGCTCCATGCTCTTCTTCTAGCTTCACAGCCGGATGTGCATGACGTGTTTTTGGTGAGTGTGTGTCTGTCTTGCGTGTGTGTGTGTGTGTGTGTGTGTGTGTGTGTGTGTGTGTGTGTGTGTGTGTGTGCGTGTGTGTGTTGCTGTCGCGTCTCAGGTTGCTGTGCTGTTTGGTGTGTGTGTGTGTGGGGGGGGGGGGGGGGCGTGCGTGTGTGTGGGGGGGGGGGGGGCGTGCGTGTGTGTGGGTGTTTTTTGTGCGTGTGTGTATGTGTGTGTGTGGGGGTGTTTTTGTGTGTGTGTGTGGGGGGGGGGGGGGGGGGGGTGAATGTGCCCATGTGTGTTTGTATGTGTGTACGCTTACTAATCTTTCGGAGTACTGTCTTCTTGCCAAACCATATGGAGCCTTGACTGGTTTCGTCCCCGGCAGTCCAGTATGCCAGTATTAGACTATCTGTTATGGCTGAGTTTGTTGGTCAGTGGCGGATCCAGGAGTGGTTCCAAGGGTTCCTCGGAACCCGCTAAATCTTGTAAATGTACAACTGGAGACTATACGCATGTTGATGTACATGTATCAGCTATTCAGTTTTTGACTTAACTGGACCCCCCCCCCCCTCCCTCCCCCCCCCCCCCCCATGTTGACATCGTTAGATCTGCCCCTGTTGCTATGTCGGTTGGCTCTGAGTTGCTAGTTCTTAGTTACCAAAGCTCGCTGGTAAAGCTTCACTTCGAGGTACGGTGACCGCACCAGTGTATCTAGATTCTGCGTCCAATAAGCAGTGTGCTGTCTATACTGGTTACCCCAGCTGGTGTAGGGTGTGTTGCTATGGTTACTGTCTCACCGTTCTGTTCCCATGTCCTCCGTGTGTTGTAGGCCATGGGGGGGGGGGGGGGGAGGGGAGGGGTGCATTCACATGGCTTCGCCAGTTGTGTGGATTACACAGTTATCTGGCGCTAGTCTTGATCTGTTTCATTCAGGAATCAGATCCGCTATCGTTGCTATGAGAGAAAATCTGTGGGTGCACATCCAGCGCATTTGCAGATTTGCGCGCTTCTCTTGTGGCGGACGTATATAGGGTACACAGTGTGTGTCTGTGTGTGCGTGCTTGCGTGTATGCTTGTGTGTACTTGGTCCGTTTCATCGCAATTGTCGCTTATCTATCGCAACTAAGAACAGGAGTTTTTTTTACCGCTCTGTACAATTTCCAATACGCATAGTGAAGAAGCATGATACAGGATTCCTGTCCGCCACAAGAAAAAAATTCAGCGATGGAATCTGATGAAGCAAGTCGAAGAAAGGAAGCAAAGTTACAAAAATGTACAAAAGAAAACAGTGACGGAGCGCGTTCTTGCACTCACGCTTTAGTTTATCCAACTCTGGCTCTGTATCACTCGAGCTGAGCTGATGCCACTTGAGCTGACATTCGTTGGTGCGTATAGCTGCTGGCGTAGAGTATCTCTTGCTTTCTCTGCTTGGTGTATGGCAGCGATGGAGAAGGAACAGTCGTGGCTGTCACTTTGGCACTTGGAGGAACGTGGGCAGCGTGACCCGTGTGTCACCACTGTGTGTTTCAACACTGTTTTTGTATCAGGCACACATCCCTCTCCAGACAGCTGTCATACGCTCTGCTGGATACGCTGACCCTGACTCTTGTACTGCCGCTGCCAGGTCGGACAAAGTCTTCTTTGCCACCATCTCGCCATGAGTTTGCAGGCTTGCAAAGAATGCCAGGTCGTTGCAGTTCAAACGTGGCGACTGAGCTGGCTGGCCAGGCCGTGACTGTCATGCTCTCCAGGGCAGGATGTCGATTTCCCCTGCTACAGTTCCGGTCTTTGAGCTGCGCTTGGCTTTTCGCTGCAGTGAATGTGTGCATTCACTGCAGTGCATTCACTGCAGCGAAAAGTTTCCCACTTTCCCATCAAAATCGTACGAATCACGATGCCACTGGCGCTAGTCGCGATGGTTATCTTCTTTCTGGTCTCCTTTGATCTTTCCATCACAACCTCCCAAACGAATGTGAATTAGATATCGAGATCGGACTGGGTTTTACCTGTCAAAAGGTGCGTGGGAGATAAGCGACAATTGCGATGAAACGGACCAAGTATGTATGCACGGGTTCGGGGGCTTACGTAGCGTGTATGTCTGCAAGCGGGTGTGCTGATGTGCTTGTGTGTTGGAGACCCGGAGGGTGTATGCTCCTGTGTGAATGTGTGCGTGTGCGTGCGTGCAAGCCTCCATGCCCACACACGTAACGGCCATTCTTCTCTCTCTTCCTTGGCTGACACTTTGAATCCTTGTTGCCTCTGTTTTTCAGGTATGCTTCCGTCAGCGAGGACTGCATCCTGGAGTTTGCAGAATGACGGCAATGCTGAGAGGCTATAATGTTAGAAGCTGAAGAGTGCTACTCGGTGTGCTACTCGGTGGAGAGACGACATGTTCTGCTATTTACATCTGCCTCTTTTTTTTGCCCGCATTCCACTAGGTTACAGGTAATACTCTGCGCTGAAAGAAGAGCATGTTTGAATTATCTCCAGAGTTCATTGTATTTCCAAATGTTGATGGATAACCTCCGTCTCCTCGCCTGCTGCTAGGTGCATACGCTTTTCTTTTCATGCTCCGACTACCTGGGAATGCGCACATGGTCACGCGGGTGTGCCGCGCTGTGTGCGTGTACATATTCGTGTGTGTGCGCGTGTGTGTGCGTGTCCATGTGCGTGTGTGTGTGTGATATAGAAACTGCCTCATATCCCCTCGCTTTCACATTACAGTACTCGCTATAGCTGCAAATCCGTTGCCACTAAGTACCGATTTTGGGTTCACCCCGTCCCCCCCCCCCCTTTTTTCGGTCATTGGTTGTGACTTACCACCTCACCCTCGCCGTTTGACGTTGCATCTGCCACCCTGTGATCTCCTGTTTCTCTCAACATGGCAAGAGAAAACATGAGCTCGCAGTTCCATTTCCTAAATGGACAGAGCGTGGAATTTGTAGTCCTCGTTCATTTGCCCCTCCCCCCTGCTGTATGCTTGGGTTCCACTTCGCCAGCAATGCACAGCACTCCTCTATCGGAGGGGCAATACGCTCAGTCACTTTTGTGAATGCAGCCTCATGCAGGTACACGATGTTGGATGGTCCTGCTTTATCCACCACACTAGGTAGACCTCGGTGGATGATGCTTGAAAAACTGACAGACTTCTCCAAAAGCAGAAAATAAGTGGCACCACCATACAGAACTTATGCCAATGGTCGGCAATTCGTTGAACTATTTCTCTTCCTTATTTATTTATTATTTATTACAGCATCTCATAGCACAGTGGGAACACCGGCCAATACAAAGAGAGAGGGTGTCAGCCAACCACGGCAAGGAAGGGAGAAGGGGAGGAGAAGAAAAAAGGAACCGGCATGGACAAGCAGTGATTGCAACAAAATGAGAAACATAAAATCAAAGTGAAGGTTCCTTACCCATACACGTGATACCAAACGAGCATGGAACATACAGGTAAAAAAAACAAAAACAACTACACTTGCTAGTACTATACTACTGTTTTTTTTGTTTTTGTTTTTTTTAGTAAAGCACCCGCTAAATCTGTACAATCATACAGCTGTACCTGATACCATGCCTCTAGACCTGTACACACGTGTACCTGTATGTTCCATATTTATTTTTTATTTTTTATTTAACAGCAGGCATGCATGCAAGCAGGCATGCATGCAACCTTGGTAACAGCAGGCATGCACAATTCTTGATGTTGCCGTCCTACACTAGTCACTAGCTGAGTACTACTAGTACCAAGAGTACATAATAAATAAAAAAATATGGAACATACAGGTACACGTGTGTACAGGTCTAGAGGCATGGTATCAGGTACAGCTGTATGATTGTACAGATTTAGCGAGTGCTTACTATGTACTAGTCTGTCCCCGGGGAAAATTGCGGAAAAAAAATCGCAAAAAACGAGGGGGAAAACGCGGCATAATATGGCATAATTTGCGGTGAATTGCGGTAAATATGCGGTGAATAATATTGATGTGCGGCAATTTTCAGTGAGTATGTAGTGAAATCAATCAGTTACAAGTCTCTGGTACGGTGTAAAAGCACTCGTCATAAGGGAGGTTCTGCTATACGTGAAACGTAGAGAAATCACGTATAGAGCAGGTGTCTGGGTTAGAGTCTACGGCTTCGCGTGTTAACTGTTTTGGCTCCAGATTTCTACGCGGAGATGGGGTTCTCTACGTTGTGGCACACGCAGAGAAAATGCGTAGAGATTTGCTGGGTATCGATCAACTGCATGCAGAAAACTGCCAAATATGGAAGGGGAAATTCCCAGTACACATTCCACGTGACTTCTCTAGGTGAAACGTAGAGCAGAACAGCATTTCTTTACGTTACGGGAACGCGAAGAAAGTTCGCGTGATTTTTTGCGTCGCGTTCCCAAAACGTAGAGCAGAACCTCCCTATATTTGAGTAAAAATCCGCCACGATGAGACGTTGCTGACCGAACAGTGCACTGACATCTGTCTGTGTGTACATGTAGTATCACACCTAGAAATACCTCTCTCCACCCGGTACACCCACACTAATTTTGGCGCGTATGGCCTACTGTATATGGCGCCGGTGTAAACGCGAAAACGGTTCCTCCGCGAAAATGGTTCCAGGCATACACCGGTTTCCCCCTGGAATCCACAGCCCACTAATTTCTGATGTATGACTAGCCGGGCTAGCCGCGAAAACGGTTTCAGGGATTAATTTTCTGGTGTAGGACCCTCCGCGAAAACGGTTCCAGGCAACTGCCACCACTGTCTACTGTGGAACCGTTTTCGCGGACTGCAGCAACTGGGATCATCCGCGAAAACGGTTCCAGGTGTGTACCCTGTTATCGCACTTTCTGCCTATTATCTTGTTACAGTCGTGGATAATTGCTTCATAACTCGTTCTCTAGTGTTTTTCTTCTATTTTACATAGAATAATTGCAACAATGTGTCCAGTACAGAGAATGTGTCGAAAATGAAGGAGTCATAAAGGATCAAATCTGCTCTTTCAGAGTTAAAATAAAGTTACAGTCAGAAGACACAGAAGCACATCATACACATACCTAATAAAAAAAATCGACGGGTTCACGTACTGGGCAGGTCAAGAACAAGGAGTCGTACAACTCCCTGGTCAAGAACCACCTTTCCGCTTCCGTGGGACGCCACCACCCCATGATCAGGCGTCAGATGCGGCTCCTAAACGGTGGGGAGGATAGATCAGATCCACCAACCAGATGCCAAAAGGCCTCAATCCCATACACATACCTAAGAATCATATAACTACAATATGAACAAAGCAAATGCTAGGTCCTAAATACACATCACTGTCTGAAAGTGAAAGCCTTAGAAAGTGGTGGGATTTAGCCTAATGTAACACACGATAGATGCATTCAAGACTTCTGTGGCGTGCTACAATGGTTACCAGGTACAACCACGAGGAGGTACCCACCAATTGTACCCATTTTTTGGCGCCAGTTACCATGCAATCCACATCGGAGGAAGGAAAAGTAGGCTAAAGGAAAACACAAACAAACTACTTTTGGGGCATGCTTCAAAGATTAGGTTGAAAGCTCACGACGCACTCATGAAAAGTGCATAAAATACGCACTGGGCAAGGTCAACTTACATCAGCTTCTTCCGCTCCTTGCTGAACGGAGTCTGCCGAAACTACCACACCATCCACATCGGAGGAAGGACAAGTCGGCTAAAGGGAAAAACAAACAACAAACTACTTTTGGGCATGCTACAAAGACTACTGTAAAAGCCATTATTCTAACGAGGCGCATATATAACGATTTCCCAAAAAATTACTGGTTTACGTGTACCAAAGGTAACGATTCTCACTTATTGTCAACGCTCAATAGGACAGTATATTATGTATCGATTTCTGTATAACGATTTCTATTTTAACGACAGATTTCTCCTCGTTAACTCGTTAGAGTTATTATTATTACGAAGTAGTGGTTGCGACTTCGGCGATGATTTGTAAGAAAGGGTTTGCTCTCCACACTGGAGCTCGCGCTATTCCGCCGACTTTACTAATCTTGACACTTGACTGACTCACGACTGCCACACGAGAAGTCCATCAAACCTTCGACTCGGCAAACCTGCAAGAAAGCACCATTCTCTGCTCAATACACAGTGTTTCGGGGAATTCACTCCTCATCAGTTGAGCTTGAGTAGGCTGAGGAAGATTGTGCCTGAAGAGCACCACTTTTTGCTCTCCAGGCACAAACATCACCAGGGATACAAACTTACAGAGACGCTCCGTTTCCAGCGCCACAAATACCTCGTGAACACCAGATAGCAGCGTGAGTCAGTCTCGCTCCTGGACGGTGAGAACGGATGGACTTCTCGTGTGCTCTGGATGGCAGTCGTGAGTCAGTCAAGTGTCAAGTAAAGTCGGCGGAATAGCGCGAGCTCCAGTGTGGGGAGCAAACCCTTTCTTACAAATTATTATTATTATTGCAAATAACGCTGAGTGAGTATACTGTACTGTAATAATGACACATGTATACAGTCATGACATTGTACAGATAGTCGACGTAGACTTACTGAGTGTTAAAAGCCGCGGACATACATGATTGTACATGACTGTAATACGAGCAAATACATATGCACCACTATTCTACTAATAAACTACAACCGAAAACTACGAAGTCGAAAGCTACACAACAAGTGGAACACATTGGGCACATACAGATCATTTGCAAAAAATGGTCAGATAGAGAACAGTACTTGCGTGACATAACGGCAGAACGAACAAGGCAGACTTAAAACACTCCAACACTCTGCAGCAAGATAACACTGGCAAACCGTGATCCAGTTCACACAGCGCTGGACAAACTTTGCTACCGTCAATGTGTCCATAGTGACCTCCTGAAAATGCCAGGAAATGTTAAATTTTGAAGTTTCCTTTGTTCAAGCACTGCGCTTGCAGGCAAATGAAACGTCATCAAAAAGTGTGGAGCACGACCGCGGTACCGCGAATGGCGAGTGTCAGTGGAACCGTGCTGCTCCGCTGCATGTACTGCGGAGCAGCGGAGCCGCAGTGGAACCCGGGCCTTAGGCTGTGTTAACATGAGAATTTTCAACCCGGGTTGAAAGTCTGTACAGTCATGTATGGTGGAAAATTAGGTGCGTGCTTACATGTATATGAAGTGAGTTAATCCGGGTCAATTACTGTACTGATATGCCAACAGAAGCCTTGTCAGTTGTGGTCAGTTTTGTGTGTGGGCCTTCATGAAGACGGTTGAAAGTAATAATAATTAAATGTGGTGCACTAACTCCCTTACTTACACCACACACTACCATCCTCTCGACTTTCACTGATTTGAGACTGAAAATAAATAAATCCAAGTAATATTAGTTACTCACCTCTCACAGACCTTCCTCCTCTCTTATCACGGCCAAGGTGACCAGACATATCATGCGAGTGGCATGGATGCAAGATCTCCTTTTGTTGGCCGTCGTCTGTGATCCATTGTGGTAGGCCTTCATCTGTTTGGCGAAAAAGGACCCCACGATCCAAGACGAAGTTGACTGCAAAGCGTTTTATTGCTCTTCGCCTCTTCGCGTCCGCAGGAAACGAGGCAGGCGTTTGCAGGCAACGCTTGCAAGACTTCGTCGTAACACGCCCGATTACCACCAAGAGAAGACATCTTCAGGACGTTTTGAAGAAAAAACCCGAAAGCACAACTCATGATTGGGAACTGATTTCGCGGATGCATGTCGATCCGCGAAAACGGTCCATAGATGCAAGAAAATTAATGTGTGGAACCATTTTCGCGGAGGAACCGTTTTCGCGGCTGGCTAGAACCGTTTTCGCGGTGAGACCCCATCCGCGAAAACGGTTCCAAGAGGGCCATAGATGCAGGAAATGTGTGGAAGAACCGTTTTCGCGGAGGAACTGTTTTCGCGGCTAGGGTGGAACCGTTTTCGCTAGCGAAAACGGTTCCAGGGGGTAACCGGTGTATGCCTGGAACCATTTTCGCGGAGGAACCGTTTTCGGGTTTACACCGGCGGCATGCTGCGGATGTCTGGGCCATGGGGTATACCGGTACGACTCGAGTCATGACGTCAGTGGACTGTGTGGACTCCTACGAACGACCCGGTACGAGTACAGCATGCTTGCGCGCTCCCGGGGTGATCTGGTGATCCCATCATGATTGTGTTTTCTGATAATCATGACATGAGGCATATTTGGACGCAGCTCGGTGCATCAGTACACCTGGTAGATTTACATCAGGGATTTACAGGGATTTACATCAGGGAGTAGTACAATACCACGGGTATTGTACGGGTATTGTACTCCCTGATTTACATAGCTACAGATTTAGCTACATAGCTATATAGCTACAGATTTAGCTACATAGCTACAGGTATGTACCATGGACCACTGCACCAATACCAATACCAGTCTGAACTGAACCATGAAGCCGGCAAGGGTAGACATGATTGTGCATGCCTCGTAGGTTGTTATTGATTTTTTTATGAAGAAGACGAAACCATTGGCACTGAACAAGGGTGGTTATGGATAAAGAGTAGAGTATCATAATTATGGCAAAGACGGACACGGAACTTTCGGTGTCGAAACAGAAATCTTGCTGAATCATGATCGGGCTCTTTTAACGGTAGCTCCCGACTCCCGAGCTGGGCAGAAGGCGTGCAACTATTTCTTGCACGCGGTGGTTCAGGTCCAACGCTACGCACAGAACTTGTTCCACGTGCAAGGACACGTACACATGCATCGCATTTTTGCATCTTGTGTGTACATGTATACGCGCTTGGCTCATGCGACTAGTACTAGTATACCTATGTACGACGAACGCATCTACAACTACGTTACGTTGCACACATGTACATGACAAACCAGTGAAAACCTTTGCTCAAAAATGCTGCCAAAGAATACCACGTACGAGGCCGACTTTTCGCTGATGGTCACGAGTACGAAATCATTCTCAACGCTGAACAAGATCACCAGATCACAGTGCAGCGTGAAGCTCAGAATTCCTCAGTCAAAATTTCTCCAGTTTCAAAGTTTCAAAGTGCTACTCAATCTGGTCAATACCCTGCGCAGCGGCTTGTCTACGTCTAGGCCCCAATGTCGAAAAGACGTCTGTTTTAGAGGAGCACAACGTTGTGAGACTGGCCACGTTCTCACTCTCAGGTGGATGACCAGTGACCTGCAGCTGCAGAAGTGAACACAGGTCTGGTGGCAATTCTAACGTGGTCTGTAGTGTAGCCATCAGGCATCACCTGGTTAACAACAAGTGTGCGTTGAAACCTGCGCAGCAGCGAGGCCGCTCGTAGGGTTACGGAAAAGTGGAGACACACCGAACGCTGAGCAGGCTACAGAACACTGAACAGAAGTAGGCTTGCGAGTGTCAGAAGGTAAGAAGTCAATCGGAGGCAGAGTGCCTTCTGCTCACACTGTGGTCTGGAACACTGCATTTTGTAGACTGCTACATGCTATCAAGGTTTGTGTTGTCTTGCATGATGTGATTGTTACGCGTAGTGAGTTCAGCCCCGGGCCGGGGCTTATTCACATTGTGGCGAGCGTGTGATTTTGATTTCTGAATACGAATGCATTCTATAAAAAGAAATAATATGTCATGGACCGGAGCCGTATATGGTGCCAAGCGCCAGCTTTGTCAGAATTTGACTTTGTTACCCCCATAAACACACACACATTACTAGACATGTATTGCGATCTTCTTCATCTCTCCTGGCATGCAGGATCGATTGCATATTCACTTTCTCCCTCTCAGCCAGCATTCAAACTGTGGAATCCGGAATCCTGGAAGTCGATGTCCAGTGCATGCTGTCATCATGGTGCATGTATGACTCATGACAGTCATGTGCACGTGCCACCACTTGCTACGCATGTACGCATGGCATGAAACACGTGCTTCTTGTAGTGCACAGCTAGTTGTGTGCACATAATTATACATGTTGCAGGTGAATCACCAGTGCAGTGATCACTGAATGTGGTGAAATCCGACCGAAAGTGAAATCTCAGGATACTTTAATAGCAAGAGTTTATAGTCTTGTACTGTTATAACCAGTGTACTAGCAGTGACACTGGCTAGTTTCGACCTTCTTTAGGTCTCGACGGCGGAGCTCAGAGTCTCCCGAGTCCCGACCGATCGCGGGTCTACAAGAAAGTTGTTGTTGCTGTTGTTGTTGTTTGATATCTTTAATCCACCGTAACCAAACGAGCAGAGGTACTCAATAACTGAAGGTACCAAGAACAAGAAGTACGAGGAGATCAAAAGCAGACAATATGAGATAATGGGGAGGGGGAAGGTGGAGTCAGGTCCGAGATATATTTTTTTGTCAGGTCCGAGATATATTTTTTGTCAGGTCCGAGATGGACAATGAGAGCTCTGATACCGAGGGGCAAGCATTGAAACGTAGGAGAGAAATTATTTCAGAGGCCCAATGGCCGTACAGGAGGGCCCAGAGTGTTTACGTACATACTAGTACAATTTTTTGTGTACATGTATAAGACGCAGACCACTCTGGCACTCATTGCCTTTCAGGGTTTCATGGCCTGGCCGATCTTCAGGTAACCCAGAATGATGCCACAGAAGCCTTTTTGCGTTTTTGTACTTCATGATTGTATAATTTCCTTCATTTTCTGTGAGAACCGGACCTACGGGACGGTGAGAAGGCAATCATGCCTGTGCAATTGGTGATGTAAAATGAAAGTCAACAGCATGTCGAGGACAGGATTTAGGAAACGCTTCGGGGGCAACGGGACAAGTTGTCAGGCCAAATGTTTTGCCCTGACAGGCTTCGTGAAGAATCAGCGAATTCTCCGCGCTAAAAGTATACTACTACAGTGGAGATTAGATATAACGACACTCCTTCGGGATAGAACAAAATGTCACTATATTCGATCTGTCACTAAACCCGATCTTCACAAAGGACTTACTAAACGACTTGGGCAGCAGAATTGTATCGCTAAACTCAATCTGCTACTATCAACTCTTGCACCGGCGTCCTAGCGCCTAGCGCCTGACCAGTGGCAGTGCCAAGCTAAAAATCGATGCTCGTGGACTACTGAGGTGCACCAGTGCAAGGCGCGAACTGATGCCAGATCTAGATGGTGAGAGTCGAGAGGAGATGGGTTCAGCTTGCAAGATGTGGCAGAACTGTATGCAGCTACAGCCACAGGGCCTAGCTAGGCTAGGGCGTGTGATGCTGGCAGAGTGTGCTGACCGCCATGTGACGCAACAACTGTAGTGAATATGCAATGCACTGCAGTACACCGTGGAGGTGTAGACTAGTCGCTGCGTTCCACCCCGACCCTTGCTTGTCACGACTAATTTAAAATACAGTGTATTTCTGTTGGATCAAATCCCAAACACTGGCACACGGAGAACAAGACCTTACGAAGTGCTTCATGGTGGGCTGTGGCAGTTTGTCGCTAGTGAAAATGATCAACGTTTCGCCTTCCTGTTCCTAATTATTTTCGTGACTTCCACAGTCGACCAAAACATTTCCTTTGGTTTTGATCAGGGAGTCGTGTACGACTCCCTGGTTTTGATATCACTTTTAGTAAGGAGTTTTCTCTTGCCACCGAGTTCATTCGCAGAATTGCTCTGCCTTTCCGTGTGGCCCGTGGTTTCGCCGCGAAATGAAGGGATTTGTGCTCTGGATCAGGTTCAGGTCACTGAGCTCATGAGGTGAGAGGTGATAATGCTTTTGAATTTTTATAATCTTTGAAGATCGACTCTTCTATCTTCGTCAAGGACAGACGCTACGCAGGATTTAGAGACGACACACCGTTACACATCATACTTCAAAGGTGAAATGAAGGCTAGACTGGAGATTTATGTTTTAGTCTTGGTTCCTTTTCTTGATTTCCTGCAGGGATGGCAGTTAGCGTGCTAATGTTGATCCTGGGCCTCACATATACTGCATCTGCACGTGAGTTCTGTGCTGGATAGGTAGATCGCTAGCAATGTTTTTCTTTGGTTTTTCGGCAGGTTGGAAGATCGGGAGTATTGTGAGTAGCTACGTAGCTAGCTAAGTCTGCTTAGTCGCGGTGCATGTGTTAGAGGCTGTGCTGCATGTTTGAAGTTACGGTACTAGCAAGAATACAATAGACATCCTTAGCAAAAGTACGATAACGCTAACTTTTACGGTACTCACTCCCAGCCGTGACAAAAGACGTTATCGGATAACGGAAAAACGTTACAGAGCTCAAAATAACGGCCCGACGTTCGTTATGGAAATTCTGCAAAAAATGCAAAAACTCACATTGTTTTGTAACTGGCGGGAGATAAAAAGCACGTCGTGCAGATCGAGATGAGATCGAGAGTCGAGATTGCTTCCTCTTGTGACATTTAGCTTTTTTGGCGAGTTTTGCCTTTCAGTTGACAATTTCTGCGTCCTCTGCGTCCTCTGCTTCGTGCCTTTCTCCCTCTATCCCATCTGGGAAACAAAGGACGAGTTCCACGGCACTCCTGAGGAAGAAATTCATCGGCCTCTCCCAGACGTGCTGGAGCTGGAGAACCCTTTACAGTCTTCGGTGCTGCGTTTAGGAAAGGGTTTCCAAGGACCTGGGAACAGCGAAAACTCATTTTCGCCGTGCTTTTGCTATTCCAGAGTAAAAGACCTCGCCAAGGTATTCTTTCGGAACGACAGCAAACTAATCCCTGGTTCAAAATTTTGAATTTCCCGCATCTGTTTCCACGAAAATTCAGATCGCCATGGTTGTCACGACTACTTCGTCTCAACTATAACGTACTTTGTGCTAAGGGAAAAGTCAGCTTGAACGATCCGAAGTACGGAAAGGTTTGCGTTTACGTTAGCGTTTTTTTAGCTAAGTATATCTAATAACCCCAAGACTGCAAGAGAATGCAACTCTGCATATGGGGTCTGGCGCGGCGCGCTGCTTGGAGTTTGTGGGCCATTGCGTCATTATTGATCTGCTACGGTTTCCTGCTTCCAAACCTACTTTCCTCAGAGACTTTGGATGGTTTTGTGCGTGATGCGTCACACACAGGCATTATACATGGTTAGCATTTTCCCTTTCACGCTAACCTCGACCGTGGGCCTGTACCGTTTTTTTGTGCTTTTTCAAGACATGGTTAGCATTTCGGTTTCTGACACAATGAGCGACTTGTGACATAACACTAGTTGTTGGAATCTTACCGTTTCGTTCTCCCGCTAAAGAGCTTTCTATCGTCGAAACGATACCAAACCGACGGTAATTTGGGTGTTGGGCACGAGTACCGTTGGATTTAGCGTGAACGGTAAAATGCTAACCATACTGTATTGCAAGAGTTGTGCCATGTACATGTCGTGAAGGCTAAATCGAACGCAAAAACACAAATCCAGATCGCTGGACCATCATTTCACTACGGTATGCAGGCAGTGTGCCGCGCCAGGCACCCATAGCTCGGAGATAAGAGTTGCACACGCTAGGAGTTGTGGACTCTTGGTACTAGAGAAGTTCTGCACTATGCGTGAAACCAAGAGTACATAAACCGCGTTATGTACTCTTGGTGAAACAAAGGGAGAAATCACGTAGAGAACAGGTGTCTGGGTTAGAGCCAAATATTTTTTCATAATAGAGAGGTTCCGCTATACGTGAAACGTAGAGAGATCACGTAGAGAGCAGATGTCTGGGTATCTACTTTTGTATCTCAACCTGCGGACAGAACTTGCCTCGTCCTTTGTGGACTCATCGGCGCAGCACAGAGAAAATGAGGCCGGACCTAAAAATAAGTTTTCCAAAGCCAGATTTAAACGGGCCCGAACGTACCATTTGTGTCTCTGTGGGTCACTCAACCTATTGTTATGTTTAGTGTTATCTTTGCCTTGTTCTGTGTGTGCTTGTAGAGTCACTGGCTACAAAGCTCACACCACAACAGTTAGAGATCATCAAGAGGACTGGCCACCATCCCGATGTAGTTCTCTACCCACCAATAGGTCAGTAGTATTTAAACCAGCTGCATCCTGAATCACACTGAAGGCAGCTGCTCTCTGTCTTGCATGCTTCGTTGGCGTCGGAAACGGTTCTTTTCGAGCTGTGCGGAATAACCAGCGTGCTGAGAGTGTAGGGTGCATGCAGGGAAAAGGATCTGCCTGGGAAACCATAGTGAGGTTCTGCTAGACGTGAAACCAAGAGTCCATACTCCTCCAGATTGCGCAACTTCACTGATCAGATCTGGGACGGCGAAATCCGTGTTGCACGTCATAGTGTGACACCATGAGTAGGGGAATGGACCGCGTCGACGGAATTGCGCAAGTCCCACCATAAAAATGACGTCCGTCACAGATCACGCCGTCCCACAACCCCACCCCAGTTGCGCACTCTGGGGGATCATGGACTCTTGGTGAAACATCGAGAATTCACACAGGGCACAGGTGTCTGGCTTACTATGGCTTCACATGTTTGGGTTCAGATTACCGCGCGAAGATGGGCTTCTCTACGTTGCGGCACACAAAAAGAAAATGTGTTTGGATCTGCTGGGTTACATTGCTAAACTGCTATAGTGGGAAGGGGAAATTCCCAGCGCACATTCCACGTGATCGTAAAGCAGACCAGGTTTCCTTCACGTTACGAGAAGGCAAAGAGTGTTCCCGTGATTCTTCGCGCCGCTCCCCGTAACGTACGGGAAGCGGGGGTCCAACGTAAGCTAATGTCCAATTGTACTGAAGGTTCACGTGTGGTGATTTCGTTGTTCATTATTTCGATGTTTCTTGAAGTTGATCGACACAGAGTTAACTGGGATACTGAGCCAGTAATAAATGTAAAAAAGGGAGAAGAAACACATGAGAAGGAGTTATGCAGCAACTATCCACGACTGTAACAAGACTGTTTCTGACTTTCTGACTGTTTACTGTAATTATACAAAATTTCGGCGCTGCAAAATTTCAGCACTTCACAATTTTTGACATTTCGGCGGCGATTTATTTTCGGCGTGGGGTAGAGGGCATGGTATAGTGAGACAGATGCTGTGAAAAATTTCATCGGCATTTTAATTTAGGCGTTTTGGGTCGGTGCCGAATATAGCCGAAATTAAATAGCTGCCGAAAATTTGTATATTTACAGTATTATCTTGTTATAGTCGTGGGCAGTTGCTGCATAACTCGTTCTCATGTGTTTTCTTCTCTCTCTTTTTTTACAGAGAAGATTGTTCTCCCAATGCCTACTATTCACCCTGTCAACACTGTTGACGAGAACACGTTCTCATCAGGCACTATCGCCGGAATAGCGTGTGGCAGCGTCATCCTGCTAGTGGACCTTGCCATTGTCTACTATGTCTGGAAGAACCGAGAGAGGCAAGTGCGGTTGTGCACTGTGTGTTGTATGTTCTTGTTCAGTACACATGGATAAAAAGAAAGGACAACATGTTACGAGTAATGACTAACTGCCCACCAATGTAACCAGATCTTATACACTCAGCGTGTGAGACAAAATGGCACAAAACTGACAAGGAGTACTGAGACATTCAACGACCTGATGATTACGTAGGCTCCACATCCGAGTTAAAATTTGTTCAGTATTGCCAGTATATGCGTGTTAAAAAAATAAAATACTGTAAAAGCCATATATATATACAACAAAGTGCTAACTCTAACGAGTTAACGAGGAGAAATCTGTCGTTTTAAAAAATAGAAATCGTTATACAGAAATCTATACATATACTGTCCTCTTGAGCGTTGAGAACGAGTGAGAATCGTTACCTTTGGTACACGTTAACTGGTCAATTTTGGGAAATCGTTATATGCGCCTCGTTAGAATAATGGCTTTTACAGTATCTTGTACTTTCCCGAAGGGAACTCACGACGGCCGCTGACAGGGAACTCTCGACGGCCGCTGACAGGGAACTCACGACGGCCGCTGACAGGGAACTCTCGACGGCCGCTGACAGGGAACTCGCGACGGCCGCTGACAGGGAACTCACGACGGCCGCTGACAGGGAACTCGCGACGGCCGCTGACAGGGAACTCGCGACGGCCGCTGACAGGGAACTCGCGACGGCCGCTGACAGGGAACTCACGACGGCCGCTGACAGGGAACTCACGACGGCCGCTGACAGGGAACTCTCGACGGCCGCTGACAGGGAACTCTCGACGGCCGCTGACAGGGAACTCGCGACGGCCGCTGACAGGGAACTCACGACGGCCGCTGACAGGGAACTCGCGACGGCCGCTGACAGGGAACTCGCGACGGCCGCTGACAGGGAACTCGCGACGGCCGCTGACAGGGAACTCACGACGGCCGCTGACAGGGAACTCACGACGGCCGCTGACAGGGAACTCTCGACGGCCGCTGACAGGGAACTCTCGACGGCCGCTGACAGGGAACTCACGACGGCCGCTGACAGGGAACTCACGACGGCCGCTGACAGGGAACTCTCGACGGCCGCTGACAGGGAACTCTCGACGGCCGCTGACAGGGAACTCACGACGGCCGCTGACAGGGAACTCACGACGGCCGCTGACAGGGAACTCACGACGGCCGCTGACAGGGAACTCACGACGGCCGCTGACAGGGAACTCGCGACGGCCGCTGACAGGGAACTCACGACGGCCGCTGACAGGGAACTCACGACGGCCGCTGACAGGGAACTCACGACGGCCGCTGACACGTATGCATGTACTCTAATGTCAGAAAATTTCAGAAATTTTCAGAAATTTTCGGTTCTCAATATTTTTTCAGTATGAGGGCAAAAGGCCAGGTTAGGTGAACAGATTTTTTTAGGTACAGAGAAGCAGTTCCCTATTGGATTATGTGTGTTTGTGTTTGTTCAGTGAAATTTTAGGTATGAAACAGACGCACCGAAAGTACCGAAAATAGAAGTACTAGTATGCCGAAAATTTGTGAAAGTACAGTGTCCCGGTTTATCACTCTCTTAGTATTGACTCCCATAGATTTTTACCATACCTAAGCAGTCAAATATTCCTGCATATTTCACTCCTTAGGGCTATATTGACCGCTTATATTTGACTCCTTTTTAGCGATTGAACACATGATTTGGTTAGTCGTGATAAATCTAATATTGACTTCGTACTTGGTCAGTATAGGAAATAAAAGACCTCGTAAAAGACCTCGGCTTCGCCTCGGTCTTTTACTAGGCTTTTATTTCCTATATTGACCTCGTACTCAGTCAATATTAGATACATATGCATGTGCTTGCTCAGTATTGCCGGTGTACATATAATTCTGTGCAGTAAAACCTGTAACTAACGACCACCCCTTTGGACCAGAAACAATGGTCCTTAGTGGCTGGTGGTCTTTCGTTAGAGGTTTGCACGACGCGACCATAATATACGGATCCCATTATATGACATGTACTGTAAGACATGTTCTTTTAACGAGCCGCAAATTTAACGATTTCTCAAAAATTCCCACTAGGTAATGTCCAGCAGTACATGTACTACACTCTAGACATGTCCCTGGGACAGCATTATTTCAGCCTGCTAGCGATGCCAGTCTCCTCAAAGCCACGCTAGCTTGACAGTATCGTGGTGGTCCGCTAGCCAGGAGATGCTTGCTACGAGCCAACGGAAGTGAAGGGGCTTGATAGTGGAGGTCTTTAGATCGACTTTCACACGCTGGACGTCCTCCCCGTCTCATAGACTTGCAGCAAACTTCTTGGGATACCAGGCGCTGAACTGATCCTTCAGCTTTCGTTTGAAGGGATCATTCACCGAAACATCAAGAGGCTACAGCAGGCCTGTGCAACGAGCAGGTGTGTAGACAAGCTTCACGTTATTCTTCGACAATTTCTCTGCGACAGAGGCACATCGGTGTGCTGCAAGCACGTCCAACAGTAGGAGGCCAGGGCTGTTCGCCGGAAGGCCAAGGCGCTCTCGCTCTGACTTCAGGTAAGGCAGCAACAATGTACCGCAGAGTAGTTGTCTCATTCAACCAGTGGTTGTCTGAGTGAGTAACATCCCACCTCCCACCCTGCAGGGACATTGACATTAGGGTGCCGTGGTACCGATCAGTCTTGCCAGCATAGATCAGCTGGGCAGGGAGGACTGTGCCACTAGCAGAGATGCTCAGCAGCACTGTCATCTCTCTCTTGTCATCCAACGCAACCACATCCACTTGACGGCTGGCCTCTTCTGCTGAGGTCCAGTGGTTCACTGAAAACCATCTTGGCTCCTGTTTGGTCGCAGTTGACGACCATGGACTCAGGAATCTTGCTTTCCTCCACTGTTGTCTTGACGCTGTCAAGGAATGCTGCTTTCATTTCGGGAACGTCTGCAGGGAGCTTTCGTGCAGTCCTGGTTCCTTTACGCTTCACATATCCCAGTCGATCTAGAAAAGATTTGACCCAGGACTTCGAGAGCTCCACCTGCTTACCATGCTCCTTTAGCAGCGAAGGGTTCTTATGATTGACAATGCCTCTAGCCGCTGTGATGACAATAGAGATGCTGAATCGTGAACGGCTCAATCTAAGGCCATGAGCAAGCTCCTTCGTCAAAGTGTCCAGCTCCACAGGTAAGACTAGCGGATGCCCTCGCTTTCCGCTGGACAGAACTCGCAGTGAATTCAATCGGCTTCGACTCCCTGACGTAGCTGACTCTGCAGATTGCGTTTGAAATTGCGAACGGTTGACTCGTTCACTGGATGTCCAAGCTGAGAGGAGAATTTTTTCACCGCAATTTTGTTGCCAAACTCCAGTGCGTGCTTGCCAATTTTAGTCCGAGTATCTTCATCGTCGGAGAACGTAGTCGACCTCCTTCGCTTTCTACCAATACCGATAGAGACTGCGGCAGAGTCAGCAGCTGCAGCGGCGTCCTTTCCGGCAGCCATGGCTCTCTCATTGTCCGAACACGTCGCCTGGTCCGCTTTGCGAGGGAAAAAATACTTCGTGATCGACATTGCTACGGCCAAAGCTCAACACTCTGAAAAACAAACTACTACTACTACTAGTGCTCGATGAAACTAAACACGGGATGATGGTCTTCATTCCGACAGACTACTGGACTCTCGTCTCGGTTGGCGCGATCCGTTCAACCAGCCCATGAACATAATTATACTGCTGGACTCCTTAAAATTAATTCCGTTAGAGTTGATGGCGCGCAAGTCATTTTAAAAAATGACTTGCGCGCCATCAACTCTAACGGAATTAATTTTAGCGAGGAAATATAAAATCGTTGTAGCATTAGATTTACAGCCGCGTTACAATTTCATGTCTTACAGTATATGCAGTGTCTGCTCTAGAATTTCAAACCAAATGGTTACACGTGTACCTGGCACAACCCTTGCAACCGGGTCGGTCCCGGGTACAGTCAAGTGAGGCTATTGTACATCAGGGAGTCTTAGGACGACTCCCTGATTGAGTCTCAACCGGGTCACAAGTCACCCGGTGTTCTTTTTCCAAGCGGGTCCAAGTGCCCCCCCCCCCAACGGGGGGGGGGGGGGGGAGGGGTACTTATAATGCCGTACTTAGTTCACATCACACAACACTGAGAGAGAGAAAAACATGTTTTGTTGCTGATATCAAATTCAGTTGCTGCTTCTGAAGCCAGGAGTCGAGCCTCCCCTGTGGAAGTTTCGCTCTGCTCTGGGCTACATATTTGTTGATGAAGTCACCAAGTTTCTCAGCATACATTACCATAGTAGCCAAGCCGTGCTACAACGTTTAGTGAGGTTTAGAACTCAGGCGCGGATGAGAAATTCCCCACAACAGCATTGTCCGCCTGACTTCTTTTTATTTTATTTAGAAGAAATGGATTTGAGCTCACAAGCTTGTTCCCACAACTCTGCAAAACACTGAACATGGTTTCACATCAATTTTTTAATTTTTGTTTTAATTTTTCTTTAAACACACGGCGAGGAGACAATAATTTGATAACCGCAATCAATAAAACTAGCTGATTTTTCTTTTTTTCTTTTCGTTTTGGCGTTTCACCTGCTACTTGTAGTGACCACGTCGTCTCCAGTGCTAGCAGTGAGAAGTGAACGAGGAACATCGGCAGCTCTGCCGTCACCCCGATGTCATCGGGCCAAGCGCTGGCCAAGTCGCCTCCAGCCGCAGTGTGGACTGCCTGACGGCGGTCTGGGAGAATGTTTCGCACTCGTCCAGTGAATGCACTCAGCTGCCTCTCCAAACGGATAGCCTCACGGAGAGCCCGAATGATGTAGCTGATGCTTGGATTGCGAAGTAACTTGAACTAGACTAGCAATACGAGAGCTTAGCCGGGATAGAAGAGAAAAAGCTGAACAAGTTTGCCGTTCAAGCAGGAAGAGCGCAAGTGAGCACTTTGAACATTCATTTTATGATCAAGCCTGCATGCATCCGAGTTGTATCTCTTCTGTATTTTCTCTCTCTCTCTCTCTCTCTCTCTCTCTCTCTCTCTCTCTCTCTCTCTCTCTCTCTCTCTCTCTCTCTCTCTCTCTCTCTCTCTCTCTCTATCTATCTATCTGTCTCTCTCTCCCTTCCTCCCTCTCTCTATACCAGCATTCTTTTTTTCTTCATAATGTGCTCCTGGTCGTGGCTTCTGGCTGTACATCCCAGAGGAACACATTCGCTTTTTATCATTTTGTTCTAAAACATTAACCTGAACCTTTTTTAACCTGAACATTTTTCTATGCCCACTTTTCCTAAGATGGGCATGCGTTGACGCTATGTCTCTCAGCACCTGCATCCATATTATAGTGCGGCATTGGACCCGGTGCAAGTTGCCGCGCAGTTATGTGCTGTTCTGCGCTGTTCCTCAAGACCTGTGATTCATGTGTTCAGAGTGTGATGCAGAACTTACTTAGAGCCCCCCCCCCCCCCACCAAATGTGTACTCCCAGGGACTCCATAGTTATAGATGGCCAGAACACTGGTGTATGAAGTCCCTCTCACTGTTTTCTCTTGCAGGACACGATCTGCGCATGCACCGCCTACAACAGTCACACAGAGTTTATTTATCCCCGACACATGCACAGCACCGCATTTCCCCGAATATAAGTCGCACCCCCATTTTCAGGTTTTAGCCATATTGATTAGATATGATTGACTTCAGTAATCAGTCATGCTCGATTGTAAGTCGCACCCCTTCTTACCCTTGGAATTTAGTTTACAGAGGTGCGATTTACACCCGGGGAAATACGGTACGTATATTTCTTCAAAGGTCGTTCTACCTGTACTGCAACAGGAGACTGCACTTGTATTGGAGATGTGTACTTTCATTGATTCTCTGCAAAGATTGATTGCCTTGGATGGCTGGCAGGCAAACGCCTCGTGATAATGATACCGTAACTTGGCTGTAAGTGCATCCAACCATGGTAAGAAACAGTGTAGAAAGACACCATGGTAAGAAACAGTGTAGAAAGACACAACGATGATAAACTGCCCTAACACCGGTTAGAAAAACCGAAGTAAGATGGCACCTGGTACCTGTACCCTGTCCCCGGGGAAAATCGCGATTCCGCGGCCGCGTTTTTCGCGATTTTTTAAGACCGCATTTTTCGTGATTTTCCCCGCGTTTTTGAACTTTTTTGTTGCACTACACGTACAGACAGTGCACTGTTCGGTCAGTAACGTCTCATCGTGGCAGCTTTGTACTCAAATACCGGTATGACGAGTGCTTACACCAGAGACTTGTAACTGATTGATTTCACTACATACTCACTGAAAATTGCCTCATATCAACTGCATACTTGCCGCATATCAATAGTATTCACCGCTTATTTACCGCATATTCACCGCAAATTCACCGCAAATTATGCCACATTTACCCGCAAATTACACCGCAAATTCTGGGATTTTTTCCGCGACTTTCCCCGGAGACAGTGTACCCCAGTATTAGCCATCACATTATTCCTGCATATACTATTATTAATTTTATAGCAACATGTCCCTTTATGTTTTTGAACCACCCTCAACATGTACTGCAATTGGAGGCGTACACTCGGACGTCTCTTATCCGGGCAGAAGTCTATTTTGGCACGTATTGCACATGTTCAGGTTAGAGAATGAATCCATTGATATGTGTGGATTTCACAGGTTAACAGTGACAAATAACACTTGCGCATACGGAAAAAAAAGTTCAAATCCCCAAATTCAAAGCATTTTTGCCGTAGAAACTCAAGCTGAAGGCGTCCGGATAAGAGACGTTTGAGAGTACTAGTACTGGAGACGTGTACGTTTATTAAAGGGGAAGTTAAGGCAAAAATTAAAATTTCACCAGTTGTAGTCTTCGGGGAGCTGAGTCGAATGGTCTTGGTCCGAGAAAGCTGAGACGCTCCCTTCCTACTTGAATCCCAATCGAACTCGCGCACTTCCACCGAAACTGGGTGACTGCACCCTACGAGATGGGGATTTGTATGCAAAATGTCACTAAAAGCGCCATTTCGTTCTTATAAAAGCACGGATGACCGCGATTGGCCCATATGTTGTAGTCCTTTGGACGCTGAGTCGACTGGTTTTGTTCCGAAAAGGCTGCGATGCAGCGTTCCTCCTTTATTCCCAATCGAACATGGTTGAAGAAGCGGTCACGTGCTCCTGGGTGCCAAAATCACCTGGTCACCACGCCAGCAGGCGACAACTTTCACACCAAGGTTCAACTCGAGTTCAACTCGAGTGACAGGACTGCACCCAAAAAAGGTCAAAACAGGCTGTAAGTTGTACCCTGCAGGCACGGTGACCAGGTGACTGGTGTACGCAGGAGCACGTGACCACTTGTTCAACCATGTTCGATTGGGAATTAGGGGCGAACGCTGCATCGCAGCATTTTCGGACCAAAACCAGTCGACTCAGCGTCCAAAAGACTACAACATATGGGCCAATCGCGGTCATCCGTGCTTTTATAAGAACGAAATGGCGCTTTTAGTGACATTTTGCATACAAATCCCCATCTCGTAGGGCGCAGTCACCCAGTTTCGGTGGAAGTGCGCGAGTTCGATTGGGATTCAAGTAGGAAGGGAGCGTCTCAGCTTCCTCGGACCACGACCATTCGACTCAGCACCCCGAAGACTACAACTGGTGAAATTTTAATTTTTGCCTTAACTTCCCCTTTAATGGGGAAAATACAGTACGCAGTTTATCCAACCCCCGTTCACTGACTGCACTCGGATCGCTGACTACTAGTATGGGTTATTTGTTCACCTACTAGTATATCTATGCGTCTAGATCATGACAACGCAAACTTCTCTCTGACAGTAAAGTAGTCGTGCGCCCAAGAACGTCGTGTCAAAAGAGGTCGGCCTGCATGTCCCTATCTTTTCAAAGCAACTTTGCTCTGTTCTTATCACGTTCTTAGAAACAATTTGTACTGGATCGTATGCACTACACACATACATTGGAGAGAAGCTATAAGAACACCAACACCGCTGTCAGGCTGGGCGTTCATGGGCTCAAAGCTCTTCGACGGGCGACTGAACTGTTGTACATCAGTGAACTATTTCTAACAACCAAGGTACTGTACAATGAAGAAAGAACGGGGTCACACACAACATGAACGCTTTACCATGGCTCCCATACACACCCGGGCAAACGCGCACACACATGCACACACACACACGCGCACACACACGCATAAATATGCACGTGCGCATGCATACACACATACACACTCACATATACATACACACACACATGTGCAAACACACATACAGACACATACACACACGTGTGCAAACACACATACACACACACACGTGTGCAAACACACATACACACACACATGTGCAAACACACACACACACACACACACACACACACACACACACACACACACACACACACACACACACACACATGTGCAAACACACATACACACACACACACGCACACGCAAGTACCGCCGGAAGCAGTTTCTGATTGGCCCTGTAATTGCGTGGCCTTTCATACAGTTTGTGTATGATATAGCGGGTACACATGCCCTCCACAGCATGAAACACACGTGTTGGTGGCCAACAAGTTGGTCCGGTGATAACCTGACCAACCGGACCGGTTCTGGCAGGCCTGCACACGCACACATGCACACACATACACACACGTACACACACACACACACACACACACACACACACACATCATGTACCATACTGAAGTATATACATCCGTCACAAGAGAAGCACGCAAATCCGCAAATGCACTGGATGTGCACCCACAGATTTTCTCGTATAGCAACGATAGCGGACAAGATCTGAATGAGACAGATCAAGACTAGCGCCAGATAACTGTCCAATCCACACAACCTGCGAAGCCATGCGAATCGACCATCAATGTACACCTGGCCGCACGGAGTACATTGGCATAAAACGGCCAAGACAGTTACCTATGCACACCCTACACTTGCTGGGGTATTAAGTCTAGACAGCACGCTGCTTTGATAGCAGCAGACACTAGATGCACTGGTACTTTGAAGTGAAATTGGAGTTACTTCACCAACCGGCCTTGCCTACTGAGTACTAGGAACCCGGAGCCAAGAGACATACCAACAACCACACACGCACACATGCACGCAAGCACACACACACACACACACACACACACACACACACACACGCACGCGCACACACACACACACACATGCACACGCACACACACATGCACACGCACACACACACACACACACACACACACACACACACAACTGCGCAGACAGACATGCATGCACATCTAGATGCGCATGCGCACAAAGAATCATGCAAGAATGCACAAACACACGCCGAAGTACACAACAATGCGTAATGCATGGTCTGACGTCTGTAGCGGGAGAGTCGTGCCAAGTCCTAGCACTACGCAGTGGGAAAGGTGAAATATGCTAAAGCACAGCCTGGAGGAGTGCTTGTCAATGCCTAGTGAGGGGCTATCAAGAACCTTGCCTCAGAAATGCAGAGTGAGAGTAGATGCTGTGTATGTGAATGAATGAAAGGATAATAAGAAACATGAACTGTTCATTCCTGACGATGATTCTGTAGACCGAAACGTTGAAATGTATAGTAATAAATTATAGGAATAGCCTTTCTGAGCATACATGATTGACACAAAGAGATGAAATGGTAAAATTTACCATCTAACGAGGATGCTGGAACGGTGCAGTTTTGATTGCGAGAATAATGGTGTACGTGTGATAAAGCTAACAGAGACTAGAGGCCTACTAAACTACTATCACCGCCAATTCATTGTTACCGAAAAAGCGATAAAGGTCTTGTGAGGTCATGCATGCGGAAGAAAATGGAAACTTAGGATATGAGTCGGCGCACAGTCACCGATTATGCATCAAAAGCTTCCCAAGAAGACCACTGTAATGGAAAAGAAAATCTGTTCGAGTTTGAGGGAAGAAATAGTGTCAGGCTTCTAGAGGTGAGTAGACGGAGAAAGAACAAAGGTCTAGAGAGACCGCGAAAGAAGCACAGGGGAATTGTTCACTGAGCAGGAATGTCTCCCGTGGAATATACATAACGAGAAATATGCTAAACGTGCATTTGGCATCGTTTCCATGTGTCCATGCTGAGGTACCACGATCATAGTTATTTTCTTTGGGCGCCGCGTGAATACCAGTAGAAACGGCGTTTTGGTTGCACTACAAACGCAATGTAGAGGCTACCAAAGACCGCGATTGCCACACCGCTTGCACGTTGCGTGTGCCGTGTAGACGGGACCAGCCACTGAACACACTTGGCACTAGACAGCTCAGTGTTCTCTAACGCCATCATCGTGTACTGGTTAGAGTGTGTTTGACGAGAATACATCGTTGCTTTCTTTGCAGGCGGCTAGATTATAACTGGCGCTCAACGAGGGGGTTATTTAGAAAATTCGCTGAGAGCTGATGTCAGCACAGCGATAAAGCCACCATCTGGGTCTGCGGGGAAAGCTGCCATGTTCAATCTCTGGAACTGTGACAAATACTCCAGTGCAGGAACTGTGAGAAAGCTTGTAATATTCCGACTCTGGATTGGTGAGAGAGATTGCAAAATGCATGTTCTGGCTTGCTGGCAGAGGTACGGACCGTGACAGCTCTGGTTGCTGTTGTACATTTCAATGGCAGGGCCTATGCATTGCCGTACACATCATTCTTTGGATTAGGTGATGGAGGGATCGACGGTGGTGTGGGCCTTCTGCTTACTGGCGTGCATGGTGTACAGGTGTCAGTATTGCCATAAATAACCGAGGCGGACAGGGTGCCAACCTGTTCAACCTGTCCAACCTTATCCCTGTTGGCGCTGGCTAGGGTCGACGGTGGCGAATGCTTCCTACTCGCCGGCGTTCCCGGAGTGCAGGCGTCCGCATTGCCGTAGATTGCCGTAGGTAGTGTCTCTATATTGCCATACATATCGTGGTTGATGCCGGCTGGAATTCCCGGCGGCGACTGCCTCCTGCTCACGGGCGTGCATGGTGTGCATGTATCGGCATTGCCGTAGATGGATGAGCTGGTCAATGCGTCTAAAGTTCCGTACAAGTCGCTATCGGCGGTGGTTGATATTGATGCTGGTGGCGAGCGTCGTCTGCTAACCGGAGTGCATGCACTAGGGTTGCCATAAACAGGCGAGCCGGGCGCTTCTTGCGCCGTTGGGCTGGACGGCAAGTTCTCTGCATCGCGCTTTGAGATGAGCGTGCGCAGCTTGCTGACAGCACTGTGGACGGCGAGGCGAGACAGTTGCGGCGTGTGCGATTGTAGTGCCGACTTGCTCTTCATGAGCTGATCAACTACGCCGTGAAGTAGCACACCTTGGCCAGTGTGCTCCGGCTGCTGCTTTGGCGTTTCAGCGCGTCTCGTGGCCAAAGGACTTACACTAGGAGAACCTTTAGCTTGGAGTGGATTGCTGCGCCTGGAGTACAAGATGTTCTCTGTCAATGACGAGGACCCCTGCACTCCTGCCGGCTCATTTGTATAGATGTCACCGTCGTCGTCCACATCCTTCTCAGTTGCACTGCCGAGTAGCTTCTCGGCGAGTACTGGCCGGACCGGCTTGGCTGGTGGTCTTCTGGAGTGTTGGTCTTCTCCAGCGGAAATCTTGCCGGCGTTGCTTGTGCGGGAATTGCTCCCGAATGTTTCTTGACCGGCTATCAGGGGCGAGATTGCTGGCCTTGTTTTCAGGTTGCCTGCTGGCTGTTGTACAGAAGCCTGCGGTGACATGGATACAGCATCAGGGCATTCGTCAGCTTCGTCAACAGCAGCAGTGAGCCTGTCTAACGATTCTTGACTTGTTTCTGGCACCAGTTGCCTTGCTAGTTTTGCCGGGATCGGATTTGGCAGACTGGAAGTGTTCTTGGCAACTACATCTTCCGTGTCCTCTTCAAGTGAGTGACTATTGGGGGCTAGAACATCCTGATAAATGTCAAGGTCAGTATTTTCATCTGTAGTGGGTCCATGAGTTGCTTCGGCCTCAATGTTGATGATCTTCTTGTCTGAGCCAGGCAGCTTTTTCCGAAGTGCTTTTAGACCCATGTTGCGAAACCTTGAAGTCTTCTCCTGCCTTGCTTCCAGTTTGCTACTCCCGTCAGTCAACACTTCCTTCTTCTCGGCATTTGCAGAAGCGGAGTTTGACTGGGATGTGTTTGGGCCTTGAGCAAACAAACTCGTATCCTCATACACATCATCATCTATCACCGTGTCTCCATTGTCAATCAGGTCACCCATTGCCCCCTCTGGTGTCTGAGCAGTGGCTGGTGTAATGGGGGGCGCTTTGTTGCCTTCCTTCTGTTTCAGAGCCACACTGTGTTGAGTTGGAGTCTCCTCCTGCTTTGCTCCCAGTTTGCTACTCCCATCCGTCAACACTTCCTTCTTCTGAACCTTTGCCGAAGCAGAGTTGGACTGGGATGGGTTTATACCTCCAGCAACCAGACCTGTATCGTCGTACACATCATCAGTAGCCGATGTCCTTACTTCGTTTGGCATTGGGGGCAACGCAGACACTTTTACGCAACCCAATGCTGATGGAGGCATTGGACTAGATTTGTTACGATCTTTTGAGTCGGTCTTGCTGAGTGCTTCAGTATCGGCTACGAAAAGCGCGTCATCATATATCAGGTCACCTGGTGCCCCCTGTGCTGTCTGAGCAGTAGCTGGTGTAAAGGTGGGTGCTTTGCTGCCTTCCTTCTGTTGCAGAGCCACGCTGCGTTGAGTTGGAGTCTCATCCTGCTTTGCTCCCAGTTTGCTACTCCCATCCTTTGCAGAAACAGATTTGGACTGGGATGTGTTTGTCCCTCCAAGAACAGAAAGTGCATCGTCATACACATCATCTTCTATCAACACGGCGCTTTTCTCAGCTTTTGGAGCGGTAGCTTCCAGACTGGAACTTGCCTCTGCGCTAGAAACATTCTTGCTTGATGATCCCGGAGCCATTTTCCCTGAATTTTCTTTAATTGTGTCTTCGTAAATATCGTCCTGCTCCTGGGATGAGTTTGGAAATTGAGATTTCAGAGGTATTGAAATAGTCTTCAGCTTGGCTGATTGAAAGCACGGCTGGGTTGGCCTAGATGTTTCCTTGTGATGGTTGTTACGCGCTGGGGTTGCTGGGCTGGATTGGGTTGCTGGGCTGGCTGGTAGGGCTTTCCCCACTGCTTCTCCACTTGAGTCTGGTTTTGTTGAGCCATCCATTCGCGAACAATCACCACCACCAGAGCCTGTCTCATTCTTGCTAACGAAAAGCGCGTCATCATATATCAGGTCACCTGGTGCCCCCTGTGCTGTCTGAGCAGTAGCTGGTGTAAAGGTGGGCGCTTTGCTGCCTTCCTTCTGTTGCAGAGCCACACTGCGTTGATTTGGAGTCTCCTCCTGCTTTGCTCCCAGTTTGCTACTCCCATCTTTTGCAGAAACAGATTTGGACTGGGATGTGTTTGTCCCTCCAAGAACAGAAAGTGCATCGTCATACACATCATCTTCTATCAACACGGCGCTTTTCTCAGCTTTTGGAGCGGCAGCTTCCAGACTGGAACTTGCCTCTGCGCTAGAAACATTCTTGCTTGATGATCCCGGAGCCATTTTCCCTGAATTTTCTTTAATTGTGTCTTCGTAAATATCGTCCTGCTCCTGGGATGAGTTTGGAAACTGAGATTTCAGAGGTATTGAAATAGTCTTCAGCTTGGCTGATTGAAAGCACGGTTGGGTTGGCCTAGATGTTTCCTTGTGATGGTTGTTACGCGCTGGGGTTGCTGGGCTGGATTGGGTTGCTGGGCTGGCTGGTAGTGCTTTCCTCGCTGCTTCTCCACTTGAGTCTGGTTTTGTTGAGCTATCCATTCGCGAACAATCACCACCACCAGAGCCTGTCTCATTCTTGCTGACGAAAAGCGCGTCATCATATATCAGGTCACCTGGTGCCCCCTGTGCTGTCTGAGCAGTAGTTGGTGTAAAGGTGGGCGCTTTGTTGCCTTCCTTCTGTTGCAGAGCCACACTGCGTTGATTTGGAGTCTCCTCCTGCTTTGCTCCCAGTTTGCTACTCCCATCCTTTGCAGAAACAGATTTGGACTGGGATGTGTTTGTCCCTCCAAGAACAGAAAATGCATCGTCATACACATCATCTTCTATCAACACGGCACTTTTCTCAGCTTTTGGAGCGGCAGCTTCCAGACTGGAACTTGCCTCTGCGCTAGAATCATTCTTGCTTGATGATCCCGGAGCCATTTCCCCTGAATTTTCTTTAATTGTGTCTTCATATATATCATCCTCCTCCTGCTTTGCTCCCAGTTTGCTACTCTCATCCGTCAACACTTCCTTCTTCTGAACCTTTGCCGAAGCAGAGTTGGACTGGGATGGGTTTCTACCTCCAGCAACATAACCTGTATCGTCATACACATCATCAGTAGCCGATGTCCTTGCTTCGTTTGGCATTGGGGGCAACGCAGACACTTTTACGCAACCCAACGCTGATGGAGGCATTGAGCTGGATTTGTTACGATCTTTTGAGTCGGTCTTGCTGAGTGCTTCAGTGTCGGCTACGAAAAGCGCATCATCATATATCAGGTCACCTGGAGCCCCCTGTGCTGTCTGAGCAGTGGCTGGTGTAAAGGTGGGTGCTTCGCTGCCTTCCTTCTGTTGCAGAGCCACGCTGAGTAGATTTGGAACCTCCTCCTGCTTTGCTCCCAGTTTGCTTCTCCGATCCGTCACAATTTCCTTCTTCTGAACCTTTGCCGAAGCAAATTTGGACTGGGAGGTGTTAGTCCCTCCAAGAACAGGAAATGTTTCGGCATACACGTTATTATTGTTATTATTATACACATCATCTTCTATCAACACGGCGCTTTTCTCAGCTTTTGTAGTGGCAGCTTCCAGACTGGAACTTGCCTCTGCGCTCGAATCATTCTTGCTTGATGATCCTGGAGCCAATTTCCCTGAATTTTCAGTAATTGGCAAGGCAGACACTATTACGCAACCCGATGTTGATGGAGGCGTTGAGCTTGATTTGTTACGATCTTTTGAGTCGGCCTTGCTGAGTGCTTCAGTATCGGCAACGGCACCATCATAAATGATATCCTCAGTTACAGTCATCCTTAGCGAGTTGGCATCTTCATACACATCACCTGTTGCAGCTGTATTTTTGGTGTCTGGCCCCAGAGAGGTCATGTCAAACTCGTGGGTGGCTTGTGACCTTACTTTTTGATGCGCCCGTACCTCCTTACTATCATTTCTGCCATATGAACCGATCCCGTGTGTCTTCAAAGCGTCCTTGAACTTGAGCTGGTAAGGCGCTATGTAGTTTTTGTGGATGTCAATAACAGGCGACCACATGCTGGCTATACTGAGTTTGTTGCCTTTTCTGGTCTGCTGTGTTGCTGGACTCTCTTCATTGGCAACATCGATGTGGCAGTGCGGTTCAGTGGAGCCTCCCAGCAGTCCATTGACCTGGGATCTGGCACTCTGCGGCACACTGTTGATGTCGATCTCGTCAAGCTGAGACATGTCAGTAACATTTGAAGTGATGTCGGCTCTCCCTTGTTGAGACTCCTTTCCGTTAACAGAGTGTAAGTAGATGTCAATTTTTTCCAACCTAGACTCGGCGCTAACGTTTGAAGTGGTATCGGCTTCCTGTTGTTGAGACTCTTTTCCATTCTCACAGTGTAAGTAGATGTCAAGTTTTTCCAACCTAGGCTGTGTGTTAGCAGCTGAGTCAGCATTGACAGAGGAGATGGGCCATTGTTTTTTAGAGGAGTACCCAGTATTATCATGATCCTCATTCAAGGCTGCGTGGTGATCAATAAACTTAGTCACGCACATCTGAACTTTGGAGTATATCTCGCCCATTCCATTCTCTTCTCCTTTTTCCGTGGACAAGAAGTTTCCATTCATCTTTTGATCTCCGATGTCGTTAAGCTTCTCAGCGAGTTTTCGTCCACATCTGTAGTGGAAGATTAGAAAGAAAGCGACCAAGAATGACTCAAACCAGGTCTGGCAAATGTTGATGTTTCAGCAAGGTTTATTACTGCTAATTGTACAATAATATTGCTCCAACATATCACATTATTGCTTTTCATAGCTGCTGTGGTAATAATAATTTAAATCTTTAATACCAACAAAATTCCTCTCTTAGGCCGAGTAAAAAAAATTACTAGATGATCGTCCTTTTTTTTGGAAAAATCGGGGAGGGCGGGAGGATTTTATTTTTATTTTTTTACTTTTTACCCTCTCATGCACACAGTGTACACAACAACATCAAGGTTTTTTTTCTCTTTTTTTCTTTTTTTTTCTTTTTTTCTTTTTCTTTCTTCAGCAGATCGATACTGACGTTGTGATATACTAGTAGTATGTGGTCCATATAGTAAAACTCACGATTTAAAAAATAAAATATTTCTTGGGGCGCTGACAAAAACTGGGGCGGACGGGGACGATCATCTAGCTTTTTTTTTACTTGGCCTTAACGTAGTGCATGGATTTGCATCCACCTGCCACCAATTTACTGGATTATTCTCAAAACGGAGTCGACAATCCCCTTTATCCAGTATCTGCGTCCTCTGTTCAATCTGAGCAATGCTGTCATCTGCTCCTTAGCGGGTATATCTAGTTATTGTATTTCCATTTCTGTTGTCTTCACTCTTTTATTTCCATGCCGCACCGAATGCTCGGTGCTCATTTCCCACGTCCATTCATCACGTGCGAATTTGTGGGCGGTTTACCACCGCTGACATTGACACGTAAGTGCATAATAATAGTAATAAAAATTGTACAAAAATGCTTGTCCCGAACCCTTTTTCCGCAGAATTAAAAGTGGCATTTTAGCCTGGTTCAGTTTAAATCGGATTTGAAAATGCGCAGGCTGGTTTGTCGGGGCCAGTGCGGCAGGTCCGTCGAAAGCCACAGGAAACATTCCAGAAATGGAAATTCTGAAGCCCATTGCTGTGTTTTTTGCACGCCTGAAAATTATGGCTATCCCATGCCTGCATAAAATGCCGTACTGCCATGTATAAACCCTTTAAGAGCCACAGGAAAATTTCAAAATTCGGCATTTTTCGTGTTCCTTGGATCATAGCTTCAGTTCTACTCACTCAATCCTCACAATCTAGGGCTTCCTTGGAACGGTCTCCGAGAGAGGAAGAGAATTAGGTCGATCTTGATAGCCGGCACACCGTCTATCCAGCGCTAGATCGCAGCGACAGTACGAAAAATGCCCCAAATGCGTCCAATTGCGTCCCGCTCCAGATATTTCATTTTACTCAATCGTGGAGTTCCAATTTTTTCGCTGTGTTCTCTTGACAATATCAACAGTGAAACCCGTGCAAATTCGAGTAAACCAGCGTGACGAAAAGTCTCAAAATTCTCAATACTAAAGTTGCACTGCGCGCTTTTGAAATTGCCGCGATCGCGGCTCAACTTACGAGTGATTTATCTCAGGAACCGTTGCTCGCAGCGCTTCGCGGATTGTTTCTCCCGACAGGTGAGAGTTTTCTCTTCGCCCTGGATCACTGGATTTGAGCGAGATTGGACTGAGTTACGATCTTTTGAAGTTTTGAATTTGAATGCGTCGTTTACGACGCATTCAAGTATGGGGCGGCTCTCAAAGGGCTAAAGCGTGGCTTATTCCTGTAGAAGCTTACGTTAGTGCTAGGCTTCTATTCAAACCAGGAATTTCTATGCCTGCAAAAGGGTTAGTACTAGGCACTACTGCAAAATACGGGTAACCCACACACAACAATCTACTACTGACTGTGCACAGGGAGTACTATACAAGTACTCCCTGTGCACAGGGAGTACTATAAAAGTACTCTACGAGAACCATAATAAACTAATACTCTATGAGTACTAAACGGGGCAATGAATAAAACAAATTGTGTAGTCAAAATAGTGCAAGACTATAATTATACTACTTGAAGTAGTTTCCAAAATGTTTTCATTAGACTCTCATCAGTGGGAGTTCGTCACGCAATTGGGAATAAACCAAAACAGCCCTTATAATTTGAAAAGGCGACGTTGAGACGATAATCTAAATTTAATATTGCAGTGAATAAAACTATTATGTGCACTCAGATCACAATCATAGCGACGAATAAAGTGTTCCAGAACGTTTTCTTGTCACAAGTCTCTTTCATTGAGAATTGTGATAAGAAAACGATCTGGAACACTATATTCATTGCTATAATTGTGATATGAGTGCGCATTATAGTTTTATTCATTGCAGCCGATATATTAAAACTCCAAAATATTTAGGAAGTTCTCATGTCTGGAGTATCAAATTATAGCAAATTCAAGAGATACAAAAAAAAACAGCGCAATTCACAATCAATCAATAGGGAGGTTAAGATGCACGTTATTTCCGGCGTGACGCGCAATTTCACGTAAACTCCAAATTTCGACGTGAGCTGCAGGTCACATGCGTTGGGTTTTTTTACTCGTGAGCCAAATAACGCGAGCTGAACTTTCGCGTCATGTCAGATATAGTGTGCATTTTAACCTCTCTATTCGTACTGTAGCTTGGGAAAGGTAGTGATAACTGGATATGTAAATGTATAAAACTGAGTGAGGGTGTGAATGGACATGATGGGTGCGTACTATTTGAAGACTTTCAGAGCTGTTACATTTTATCTCTGCTTACACAGAACAGGATCACAGATACGTATGTAGATAGCTTCTACCACCTGTAACTTCCTGAACCTATTCACACATCTAACAGCACGGTTCGTACTCTTATATATCCTTATTAATGCGATTAATAGTATAAGTGAAGCGGACATTACAAAATGATGAATGAGAATACATGTATCTAAAATGGTTGTTCCTAATCGATTTTCTTGAGACTATCATCAGGGAAAAATCGTCTCACAATAGAGGCCATACGGAAAAACAAACTACTTATAGGTTATAGGATAGTGGGGAGTATACAAGGTGAGGTGTGAAGAAAAAAACTAAAGTGGGAGAGAAGACGAAAGAAATTAGAAGAAAAGATGTGAGAGTGTTCCGACGGTGTGAGCTACCACAAAAGGTGAGTGAAATGAAGGCGTGGAAGCAGGTGAATGTGATAGAGTGAGGAAGTGTGAGTTCGATTCTCCCTGGATGTCCGAAACTGCGTTCCGCAGACTAATGCAGATGATGACAACTGATGTTGAATTTTCTTTTGATGACACCATGTACCGCCAAATTGACGGGGTGGCCATGGGTTCACCATTGGGTCCAGTTCTGGCCAATGTGTTTGTCGGGTTTTATGAATCGAAGATTCCAAGTGCGATGTGGCCTAGTTTATATGTTAGATTCGTGGATGATTCGTTCACGCATTTCCGTAATCTGGAACAATCGAATGAGTTTCTTGGTATGCTCAACAACCTACATCCCGCTCTGAAATTTACATGTGAACATGAGCAGTCAAACCGTTTGTCTTTTCTCGATGTGTTAGTCGAGAAAACGGAGATGGCTGTTTCAACTTCAGTATATCGAAAACCAACGTTCACCGGGCAATACATTGTCTACGACTCCTATTGCTCGACTTTATACAAAACTAATCTCGTACGAAATTTGATCATGCGCGCTAGGCGGATTTGCTCGTCTGACAAGCTTCAGCAAGAGCTTTGTTTCCTGAAGAAGGTATTCGTTCAGAATGGATATCCTGTTCAGCTCCTCAGTAAGCTGTTTAGCGAACCTGATATTCAGGTTGCCGAGTCTGAGTTTGGACCTGACCCATGTCGTGTGTTTTTACGACTTCCATGGAAAGGTCAAATTTCGCTGGATGTGGCCCGCGCCGTGAGGACTGTGGTCAGACAAACCTATTTTGCCACAGCATTGACAACTGTCTTCACTACGGCCCGTGCGTTCACGGTGAAGAAGGATGTTCTTCCTACCCAACTAATTAGCCATGTAATCTATCATTTTGAATGTCGGCATTGTGATAGCCGATATGTAGGAAGAACCCTTCAGCACCTGAACGCACGCGTCAAACAACATGTACCATTGTACCTATTGTCAGATGCAGCCAAAGCCGGGCGACCTGGACGAGGCCGTCCCCGCAAACAGGTGCCAGTTGCACAACAGAACCACACTATTACAGTACCGGTTGAACCCACTGCAAGTGCACAGTTACGTGAGACTGTAGGAAATGGACAAGCACAGGTACGGAGACCAGTAACAAGGAGCATGACTCGTGCGCTGGTAATGGCTTCTACCACCGGACATGGACTGGCAGCGAGCAGTAGCGTGGGATTGTCGTGGGGTGCAGAGGAGAGGATGGAAGAGGAAGAGGATGAAGAAGGTGTGAGCAGTGATGAAGAGAGTGAGTTGGACAACCAAGATCAAGATGACCGGACTGAAGGTGAGAGCACAACGAAAGGGTCAGCAATTAAAAAACACCTCTTGTCTAGTAGCCAATGCCGCTCAGTGTACGACGATTCATGCTTCACTGTTTTGTGCCGTGCTCGTAGGTTTTGTGAACTTAAGGTATAAGAAGCTGTTTTCATCCGTAAACACAATCCTAATCTATGCATTCAGAAAGAAAATGTCACAAAATTGAGACTCTTCACCTGGCATTCACACACGTATTCATTCGCAGACACCTACACCTCACACTTCCTCACTCTATCACATTCACCTGCTTCCACGCCTTCATTTCACTCACCTTTTGTAGTAGCTCACACCGTCGGAACACTCTCACATCTTTTCTTCTAATTTCTTTCGTCTTCTCTCCCACTTTAGTTTTTTTTTCTTCACACCTCACCTTGTATACTCCCCACTATCCTATAACCTATAAGTAGTTTGTTTTTCCGTATGGCCTCTATTGTGAGACGATTTTTCCCTGATGATAGTCTCAAGAAAATCGATTAGGAACAACCATTTTAGATACATGTATTCTCATTCATCATTTTGTAATGTCCGCTTCACTTATACTATTAATCGCATTAATAAAGTTATTGTCTCCTCGTCGCCTTTTCTTATATATCCATTTATCACTACCTTCCCAGGCTACAGTATGCTATCGGTCGACTGTGAATTGCGCTGTTTTTGTATGTCTCGAATTCGCCATATTTGGTAATCTAGGTGTAGGAACTTCCTAAATATTTTGCATTATGTATTGGCTTAAAAAAGAGAGGACCATAAGTTTACAAGTCATCTGTTTTGTCCAAGACTAACGATTATATGCAATATATCAGCTGTTTTGGTTTTCGCACGGCATGGCATGGTTTGTTAGTTGTGGTTGTTGTGGGTTGCATTGCTGGAACAGACGGCACATAGGCTTCCGCGGAATATGCCGGCATAATTTCGGGAATTATCGGTCTGATTTTTAAAACGGCAATTATTGGCACTTTTTGTGGAATAATCGGTAAAATTTGAGCCATACCCCGTTTTTTTTTTCATTTTTTCATTTATAACACCCTGATTTGTACCAAAAAGTTTGTGGTCCTGCAGTTGTTCGCCCTGTCTTTCAAAAAAGTAAGAAAAAAAGGTTCCAGCCGAGTGTCACGCGAACCGTGTTTTTTTGCCCGTACAAACGGCAACAATACCCGTACGCAGTACGGTATCTGCAAAAAAGGGAAGAAAAAAAGCATTATTGCCAGAATTATTGGTGAAATTACGGGAATAATAGGTCGAAATTTTGAGCAATGCTCAAAAGAATTATCGGTAAAAATACGAGCATATTCCGCGGAGGCCTAACGGCACACCAGCTAGGTGAGTGTGGGTTGTTGATTGTAGTGTTAATGGTGTTGTTGTTATGGTATTTTCCCAATCACCTGACAAACTTCGACTGATTAAGGGCCACACGAAAACATTTTGGAAGCCAGTATTAGGCTCCTCGACAATCGTCTTGGTGAGCACTCTCGGTAGGCTGCTCTAGTGCTGCTGCATTACGCATTGCCCCGCTGCTTTTCGTAGTTAGAGCACTCTTGCGCTAGAGCGACGAGCTATCTTAATGTCGGTGGTGCCTCCTTTGCTCCATGGCTGGTAGCTCGGCTTGCTTAAAGTTCGTAGCTGTACTGATAAGGCCTGTATGGCTGAAACAGTCTACAGCATTGGGAAACCAGTATTATATATTTACACTGTTATGACTAAATAGAGACTTAGTCGGAGGGAAACATACAAGGAGACGAAGCTAGTTGAAAAACTGATGGGGCCTTTCATACCACTACTTCTGAAATCAGTACATGGCGATAATGTGACGAAGCACAACGATATCAATTTATACAGCATATTGGAGGAATTTTTTTGATGAACCAAACGTACACAGGCCGCATGATGGCGTGAGTTGGCCCAAAAGCGTGTTTGCATGTTGGAATGGCCTATGAAGGTACTCTATAATTTCATACCTGAAATCCTTGACTCATCCCATACTACGCATAATTGCCCTGTTTACATTCAGGGCTAGTACTTGTACAGAAACACGTGGGCGCCATCTTGGTTCACGTGACATGTGTCACACCATGCTGTGTACAGGGAATCTTGCGGTACTTCGCGTCGACTCTGGCCTGTTCAAATCCACGCAAGTGAGCCACAGTTCTCTCTAGCAGGCTGAGATTTTGCAGGCACCGAGTTCAGATGTGGGCAAAGGGATTCACCGAAGGATTTTTTGATTTTCGCAATTTAGACCTCAAATAACACCCTCAAACTCGGTAAACGTGTCCCACCTCTAGGATCGTTTTGGCGAAATTCGCTTCGGTGAAAGTCTGGAGCATCTCCTACTGAAAATTTTGAGCAATCGATTGTCAAAATCGGCTCATGTGGAGCTCACTTGTGTCGTTTTGAAGGACGCCGCGCCACGCGACTTGCGCTGGTTCTTTCACAAACGGAAGACACCTTCCAGTCAGAACTGCAGACTGTGACAGTGCAGTGCGCACGGCAAGGAAAAGAAGGAGACGTGCATTTTCCATTTGTTGCACTGTGTCCTTTGCTTTTATTGTTCACTGATAACATGTTCACAAAATCTTGAGCTAGACGGAGAAGACTGACTTACAGATTCATTTAGGCTTCAGCGTGATGCACGTATCCAGACCATAGGAAATATTGGGAAAGGAACCGGGAACCACGAGAATAATTTTTCTGGAGCGAATCCAATTATTACCATGGTTCCTTGTTCTTGAACACCGCGCTCCACATCGTCAATGTTCTGCTAGGTAAGGATTTCAGGACTACTGTCGGTTTTTTCGACCTCGGGGCGATCTGATCTACGTCCAGCTGGGCATGATACTGAGCCGAACTGGCCACTAGTTCGCTTCTTTCTCGACTCGGGAAAGCCGGTCAGAGTGCGATTTCCTACCCTGGATGCGATCCATGGTGCGGACTGAAAATAACTACTGAACACCTCCTTGTACAAGCACTGACATACAAGACCGGTGGTGGATACAAACTGACAACAGGAAGCCCTAACAGCACCCGCTCTGTCAAAGAAAGTCAAAGGGAAGCAGTTCGAACTAGTTCAAGCACCACCAAAAAATAAAATAAAAACTAGCACTTGCTCTTGCAGCTAGGTCAAAGACTGTACTGGCAAGTACACTTTTGCGCAGTCGCGATCTCGCGGCCCCGCATCACGTGCGGGTATCTGATGACGTAGCGTGATTCAAGATGGCCTCTGACGTGTTTCCCGTTTTGTGATTCCAAATACCAGCCCTGACATTGACCACTTTAGGCATTGCAATCTTTCACCTTTGGAGGGACTAAGCATTTTTTCTCCACTTCAAAATTGTTTTGGAAAGGAATGAGACAAAGAAAGAGAACAGGATTCGAACCCGCAACAGTATGAATCTCAAGCAACCACTTATACCACCCAGCCACTGTGCTGCAGATGCTAAGCCCTGTTGTTCTTACAGCCTCAGGACCAAAACAGGCAGTATCCTATGCGCACTACTACGAAGGCTATACTAATAACAATAATCAGACAGCTCGCATATCACTCAGAATTGAGCTCTACGCACCTGTGAGTGAAACTGTTCCACTCGTGTCTGTTTCCAGGGAAGACGAAGGCTTCAGGGACGATGGCATACTAAAAAGGCTAATATAATACTAGCTCCTAAAGGATGAAATAATGGGGATCTCGGTCTTCTACTTGGCACATACTTCCGAATATAGACCTCGTCTCGGCCAATATCCTATACTGCAGTGTCTTGTCTAAAAGCCTGTCTCATACAGAAGCCCGTTTTGAATACAAGCCTGATTTTGGAGATGCTCTGTCGGCACATAAACCTGGTTTTAGTGTTGGCGTACCTGGTTTGAACAGAAGCCTGACTTGAGTAGAAGCCTAGCCGTGACATTGGCTTCTCCAGGAATAAGCCCGGCTTTTATACGAGACATTACAGTCACATTTTTTTCTTCTACAAAATCCACATATCTCCAGACACTGGGGTGAATGATGGAGTGTGGTGGTGGGGCCCATTAAGCTCCGCCGACCAGAGGTCTCGGCTTCATAGCTCCATGGACGCACTACATGACGGTACTTATAACACCAGCGACCACTCGTGATTTCTATATACACAGCCTCATTTTCTCTATGCTGCGCTATTGAGTTCACAAAGAACGAAACGGCATGCTGTCCGCAGATTGAGTATATTTACAGTAAACCTGGTGTGAGCGACCTCTGTGTTTAGCGACCACCTGCTCTTGACGACCGTTTTTCCATGCATCGACAGTTCTATACACACACTGTGGGACCTGGTTCTAAAGACAACCTGGCTTTAACGACCGCGTTTTCTTGCACCGTGAGGTGGCCGCTTAAACCAGGTTTTTACTGTATAGTCACTCACAACACACAGTCATGTCCTCACCTGCCATAGCAAATTTGGTAAGAAAATCCAGCCAAGAAGACTATACAGAATGCGGCTGCGAACAGCGCGCCGATGACCAGGTCGGCGGCATTGTCTGCTGCAGGCCTCCTGTATGGTGATGTGGTTGTCTCAGTGAACACTGGAGAAAGCAGAGAAATCGGAGCATGGCGATCAGAACCGGAAAATTTAAAATACCGTACTGGCAATATATGTTGTCGCGTAACGCGTAACGCAGGGGGGGGGTGCGGCGTAACGCGCGACCAGGCTAGTGCGACAAATTTTCGTTGACTTCGTAACGCGCGTCCGGCGGGGTGCGGCGATCTTTTCATTGCAGTTTGCACTGCAAAAAAAGGCTGAAAACTGTGAAAGCACGTGTACCGCGTGGTGAAAAGTTCAAAACTGGACGCAGCAGGAAGTCCTGACACTCGAAGGCGCATCATTCAGTGGTTGGCGATCTCAATGGTTTCTTCTTTCCCGAGGTCGTTTTGCGAAGAAGAGCGATGTGTTCACCAGTTTCCTTGTGACAATGCAGAAGTCTCTATTCGCCTTCGGCATGAAGAAAATCACGCCCAAGGAAAGTGAAAAAGGAAAGGATGAGGAGAGAAAGGAGACGAAAAACAGGATTGCTGCTGATCGTGCAAAGAAAGTTTTAGTGAAGCAGAAGAAAGTTCGTGAGCAAACGAGAAAGCGTGTTCGTCGGCACCGCCAAAATGATGCGGCAATAGCAAAAAAGTGATGCGGCAATAGCAAAAGAAGGACTGCGGCAATATAGAAACCTGTGTAACGGCTCCTGTGCGACTTTGCATGTAACGCCCTGCGTGCGGCAAACATGTGCCAATGTAACGCTTCATGGCCTCACTGCGGCAACATATATTGCCAGTACGGTACACAAAGGCACACAGTGAAAACCTTGACAAATTCCCGATTTGCCCAAGGTTTTAATTGTGTGCCTTTGTGTACGCCGCTCTGCCTGAATCAGGTATTGAGCACTTTCGCAGAACCTAAGCATACTGCCTCTGTGAAAATTAAAATAATTCTATCCTGTGGAACACCAAGGATAAACAAGTACAACGAGTGTGAAAGGAGAGTTCGCTTCATACCACTAGCCCTTACTAACTTTTCTTAGTGTGCGCAAGCTCCACTGATTTGTTAATTTAAAAGCGAGAATTTTTTATGGCTCGCTAAAGACTGCGTCGGACTGACTTTGCCGTATCCGCGGGAGCGCCACTACCCTCAAAGATCTGCTGTGGGGGCCTATTGCCAGGGTAAATGCCCACACAGTTCACCATATCATACACATTGCCTTACGCAAACGCATGCGACGTAGATGCAGCACCTAATGTCCACTTGCACGGACCTTGGTTCTACCGGATCCACCAGCAGAGAACCACCAGGCACAGATGCGCCGTAAGGCCTGTCTTCTAATATTTACCATAAACTTGACCCTGAACTGCTGCCAAGGGACTCGCCAAAGAGAACACAAATCTTAGGTTGCTTTACTCTCAACAAGTAGTAAACTGATTCCCAGCAGAGTCGAGATAGCCGAGAATCACTGTTCCAATGGGCACCCAGCTACCACCCCCGTAAGGTAGAATGGAGTTGAAGCGGTCCAGGCATGTCTGTTCAGATTAAGTATGTCTGAACGTCTGAACGCTGTCCTGATCTTTCCACCCAGCCAGAGATTGGGGGAGATCTGTCCAGGCGAAGTAAACTACATGTAGGGATAAATTCATTCGAAGCCGTGTGATCAAATTCCGGCCTGATGGTGCTTTCGTATTAACCCTTTATGGACGGATTACTAGCACAGTATGCACCAGGATTAGAAAATGTCAGTACAATTTTCAACTTTTCCATGTCATAACTTTGGTGTCCTTCACTTGATTTTCACAATCAAGGGCTCATTGGAAAGCTCTTGGCGAGAGCTACGTCAGGGTACCAATCTCCATTATCCATCCGCCACAAATCAGGCCCGGTAACACAGCAAAGTCGTCTCCAAGCCTGATATGCAAGCAAATTCGTCCCATCAACGCCATTCCACTCTCCTTCATCGCAGAACGCTCAAATCTGTTTGAGACGATTCAAACTTCAGCCGGCTACGTCATTATCATGTGCTCAGTCGCTCAAAGAGCACACGAAAAGGGATTTTCCCCCAAAATGGCGAAATGATCGATCAAAAATTTGAATTTGCCGAGGTAAGAATACGGCGTGCGATATTTCTGGCGTCCGACATTGTAACTCTTCGGCAATTGTTGCATTGGACAGCTTGGAGTTCCCGCTACCACGTAGACCCTTCGATTGTGGAATTTGCTCAAGAAACGATGGAGTTACGAAGATTTTACCGCCTGCAGACTTTCGATCTTATTAGATCGAAACTCATACAGTCCGTCCACAAAGGGTTAAAGAATTAGCGAAAACAGGCCCTCACGAACGCTGCAATGTTTTTGGAATTCTTTAAAACAAAAGATCTAGAAGGGCAAAGTTCTGAAATACACATCCTGTGAAGCACGGCGAGCCCTCCCCTTGTCACGAAAGTGCCTCCTGGCTTTACAGCTGCTGAAGGAAAGGAAAATCGTTTGCTGGGGGCAATTAAAAAAAAGGTCGTATTAAATTGTGATGCAATCACCTGAGTGATTGATTGATTGATTGATTTTATTTTACTTCGCAAGTTCAAACGGGAAGTGTACTCGTACTAGAGCCCTCTCGCATGGCCCTTGCTACCTCACCATATGTGTGGACCTCATTGTCACGTGAAGGGCGTACTGTACAGTGCGTATCGGTTATAGCGTGGTCGTGTAAAAGAATATACCGCCTACAAGAATGAACTCTCATGTTTTCATAATCATAACATGGGTTTCAAGTGCACTTTTACTCTAATTTTATCGCATAGTAGAATATATCGGTCCTAAGAATGGACTTTGTGTAGCGAAACATGCCAGATTAGTACAAAGTGTATCGCCTGTAGTAATAACATCTGTCCAATGCAGTTCTGATCTGACTCGCGTTGCGTCGTAGTGCTGCAGGTTCAACTGTTGGGGTCATGTAACTCATGTTGGATAGCAACAGTCATGGTAAGCCTATGTGACTATGACCAGCCGCATGCACAGTAGCACTACGTTGCACGTAGATCTACGATGATCTTCCTGCCCCTGCACATGTAACCTTGGCCTGAGGGCTGGTTGTTGCGCTGGGCCCGGTGGTGGTGGTGGAGGGGGCGGGGAGCGCCACCTTGCTGAGCCATCTCTACACGATCAGTCTTCCACAAATAATTTGGTATGCGTGCCCTCACAAGACGTGGAATTCGAATTCGCTGCCACCACGTGTAACCTTGGCCTGAGGTAACAATTACATTCACAGGAGCATAAACTCCCCAGCCCCCAGCCAGGCACCAGTTCCAACCATGACAAGACTTCGAGATCAAAACTGCAACTCTCAAGTCAAAAACATTCTCAAGAACCAAAAGGAAAACCCGCATCATAACAGAGCGAGCCAACGAAAGGATACGCATGCGTGTGTGCTTGTGAGTGTGTACGAATGATGTATGCATACATGTCATGAAGTAGAGTCACATTCATAGCTATAATTAAGAGTGGAAATATTACTACTTCCTCCGGAAACAAAAACTTCGTGACTTTTTGACATGACTTTTCAAGGAGTTACTGTGCTCAACAAAGATGTTCTTTTGGAAGAGAAACACTTCAACACATTCAATCGACAACATACAGGATCGATTAGTGGGAGTAGAGTCTCAGTCTGGGTCGCCATCGCTCGACTCATCACCGCTGAAACCATTCCAAGTGGCAGGTCGATCGACGCCATGTCGTATGTCACGGAGAAGCTTCTCCGCATCCCTGATCGTCTTCGCTGTTACCCAAATGCCTTCTCCAACACCTTGGCGGAGACCACCGCAGCGCTGCAGCGTTGGTACTCATTGCCGCCTCCGCTCTCGCTCGAGGATGCCCCGGAACAACAAACACAGGTAACGCCAAACATTTCAAATTTCCTCCGAGGGATATCATAGTCGTACCAGCACTTCCCTACTGCCACGATCATATCTCACCTTCTCCTTTGCGACCAAGGACACATTGTCTAGGCTGCTGGAAAAGACGAGATCATCCACGTTGAGGTCTGGTCTCTGCAGTGACTGAACGACTTCTATTATGAACTTGTTCATCTTGCTCTGCTGCGTGAAGTGACGATTGTCACGTCTCCGCGTTTTGGAGTTTTGACATCTTGCCGACCTGTTCACATGCAGACAGGCGTTTCGGGGATGGCGAAGATTTCAAAACGCTAGCTGCTATTGCTTTTCATTTTCCACTCTTCTTGCTCCTTGGTGCCATTGTACTGCTCTGTCAAGTTCGGAACTAAAAAATAGCTACGACGAGCAGTGGGCGCAGTGCTTTTCTTCCCATTGCGCCTGATGGACGAAAAATGAAAAACATGTTCGCTTTGCTTTGTTTGCAGCGTCGACACCCTTGCTCTGCGACGACTGTTGGCTGTCTAAAATATGAATCATGCTTTTCTACAATTCCGAAATGTCATGTCAGTGTTTCGGGCGGACAGAACCACAGAGAGAGCGAAATAACAGCAGCGAAAAATAGTGAAAAACAGTCACGAAGTTTTTGTTTCCGGAGGAAGTACGCCAAACGGAACATGTGCAACATGTTACATACACATGCATATGATATGTCACACTTGATTTATCGTGTGTAAGAAATATCGGAAAAAGAATAGAAAGTCGTTTTTCAAACACCCACGCTATAACCGATACCTACTGTATTAAAGTCGACAATTTTTCGGCCCATTCAAATTTTGGCCTCCCAGGGCTAAACCTCATTTTACTCCTGTTAAATTTTCGGCCTGTCCTGCTGCTGCCTGTATACACTGTCACACTGAACCTTGCAGAACAAAATTTCGGCCGCAACAAGTTTTCGGCCTAACACGACCAGGCCGAAAATTGCCGAAAATAAATATGGGCCGAATATTTGGTTGAATTCCAGTAGTGAGTACAGGCTCACTGTGCATAGGCCTCTCCAAACGAGAAAAAATGTCTTACAGAGTCAGAGGTCGATTTTGAGTTATCTGGGTCACGACAATTTCGGAGAAAAGGAGCAAAATGGATTGATTCGGTGACTGTAGGGC